AGAAATAAAGCGTTTTAACCCAAACCAAACTCGCCCCGGTAAGCCGAGACCATAGTTCAATTGTTGACCAGGTGTGTAACTGTCGCGCCAAGGATAATAAGGAACCGGTTATCCACAACGCCCTGCCAGTACACCACGGCTGGTAGTGTTCCGAGATAACAATAGAATTGACAGGTGAAGTATTGCCTAATCTTCACCCTTGAATATCCCAAGTCCACACCCAAATGGGTTAAGGTTAAGATCATGGAACCACCAGTTGAACGGGAAGAAAGGGCTGGGGGAAGTGCTTGTGGTAATTCATGTTGTCTCAGCTTGGCATAAAAACAAATTAAGAATATATTATCCAAAAGGACCCTGCTGGAAATAAGCTGAACTGTATACCTGCGTAGTCTACTGTATATATGCCAAAAATTAGGAAATACAAATAGAGGAATACAATGTGCAACGCGGTGCTTGTATTTATATAAGAAATTATTTGGCCTACAACCTTAGCTCTGACTTAAATGATGAATGTGAAGGGCTTATGGCTGGAAATATTATCTAGAACTAAACCCATTCCCGTGGATACTCTACCGTCCACCCAACACTAGTCAGTTTGTGGATCATTTTACCAAGATACTGTACTGTCAAACCTTAGGACCGACTGTCAAACGGGTGACTCTGTTTACCTGCACTGCCTCGCATACAGGAAACTATACCCTGTACTTACACGGCTTACATGCACCGTACCATTGTCGATATTCATGCTGAACTATAACTGCATAGTTTATGAACATGCATATCCAATTGTAAACCTGTTCGACAATTTTACTGAATCAATGTTTTTATTATTATTATTATTAGAAACAGTTACTCTTTTAAGAGAACCAGAGAAAACGCGGCGAGAGAAAGACAAGGAGAAAGTGTGTTTGAGAGCCAGCCAGCCATCTTACACTAGACACAGCCCAGCACCAACCTGATGGTGAGACACTTGTCCTCTCAACATCAGCTGAACAAGATGAACATCACTTATCGTTATGTGTCGTTGCTTTTAACAAACTTGTGTAAATATTCGTGTCGTTTACGAAAGATGAATAATATTCTGTTAACCACTCTCAACCTCCTATATAGTTGTGGCGTCCAGAGAAATCTGGCACGACACATGCTGGAGATTCAACGGCTAGGATATTGTCATATACAGTATATGTAAGCACCATGAAAATCTGGATATACTGTACTGGTTTAGGGTAGACTGGCATATTCAAGTTAGAGCAAAGTCAGCGTCTCGTATGATAGTAATAGTAATAGAAACCTAAACAGAGAAAGACTGTGTAGAGCCAACAGCCCCGTCCTCCCTTTCAGGTTGGTGTCCCTAGCCTCCCTCCCCTCCCTGATCCTCCTGTAGTCCTTCCCTCCTCCCCCTCCTCACCCCAGTGAAGAATGTGACGAGACGCCCTCACCGCGCCACCACCGTATAAGGGGATGGTGAGTCTCATCCCGTCGGACTGGACTGTGTGTGTGTGTGTCTCTTTTGCTGGTCAGGATCCGCTGCCAGCCGCAAGACGCCTGTTGCAAGATGGATGATTTTTTTGCTTAGTAAAAGTGTCATACAAGTTTACATTCGTTCAGCATGTGCAAAGACAGTGCAAATGTACAAAAATACTCATAAAAGGTGCAAGTATGCAGCAGTGCACATAGTGCAAGTATACAACATACATTGACAATACAGGTATAGAGTCTATAGAACAGGTAAACAAACAAGAGTACATAGATCAGGTACAGTATACATATAGAAACCAGGTACACAACTTAATAGACAGCAGGTACCTTCGCCGATCAGTGGCGAAGAGGATAAAAGTAAAAGTAAGTACACAGTCGACATAATCAAAACAGGTACACGGTTTACAAAGACAGCAAGGACACAGTAGTTACAATCAAAACAGGTACACGGTTTACAGAAACAGGACAGAGCAGGTACACAGTGCATACAAACAAATCAAGTACACAGGTTACATAGAGCAGGTACACTGTACACAATAGCAGGTACACCGTGTACATAGACATACAGTGTACATAGAAAGAGCAGGTACACAGTATACATAGACAGAGCAGATACACAGTGTACATAAAAAAGCAGATACACAGTGTACATAGACAGCAGGTACACAGTGTACGTAGACAGAGCAGGTACAGTGTACATAGAGCAGGTACACCGTTACATAGAGCAGGTACTGTACACAGTGTACATAGTGTGGGCAAACAGAACATCGCATAAAGTGCAGATAAACAAACAATGCACAGAGACAGTGCAGATATCCAAACAATGGTAATATAAAGAGAGCGTCTATATGGCCCTGGATATCTCAAGAATGAGGTTAGAAACTTTATTTCCATTGCTTAACGCTGTGAAAGCAGGCGTAAGTAAAAAGTTCCACCCCTCTCGCAGATATGGCGTTATCCTGTTACTCTTATGATAATGCCTCGTCCTGTATTTTGCAACTAAACACTCTCCTGGTTATCTTCCACCTAAAATTTATAGACCTCTAGTGGAAATCAACTTCTTCTGGCTTCTTTGTGTTATTCTTCGTTAACAAGACATACTGTTCACCATTATTTGTATACCTGTATGGTATATATAGTAAGATTTTACTGAATATCTATCTATACATCTATCTTTTGTTTAATTGTTCACGTTTCATTGTGTCTTTGTTCATGTTTGTTTCTATGTTCATGTTTCATTGTTTCTTTGTTCACATTTCACTGTTTCTACATTCACATATTTCAATTTCTTTTCCCACAAAATTTATTAATTCTGTACTCAAATTTCATCATTTCTTTTCCTATACTATTTTTGTCAAGTATTTTCTTGTTTCTTTGTTCCATTTCTTACACTGTTGAAGACTCTTTTTCTTTGTCTCAATGTATAGGACCTTTAATTTCCTTTATCTGTGCTTTACTTTACCCTTACCCTCGGTCAGCTCGTTAACCAAGGGCGGTCTATCAGTTCTTTGTTGAGCAATGTTGATGGGCATATAATGGATCGTGAATGTATTGTATCTTGCTTCATTTCTTATGTGTTAAAGACCTTATGTTGCTTTTTGTTTCTTATGTGTTAAAGACTCACTGTTTTGCTTTTGTTAAATTTCTTGTGTTAAAGGCCCACTGTTTCTTGCAGAATTGAATTAATGGGAGAAAAGGCAGTCACTCAGCACTATAACATATGCCCCAGCCAATACCAAGTTCTCAACAACATGTAAAAATATAATATGTATTGAAATCCATAATAACCTTCTTTGCTTCCACCAACCACTTTTCTGCTGACTTCTTAATCTTTCTTAAATTCACTTTGTCCTAAATGAAGTTGTAATAAATTCTCTTCAATTCATATTCCTGTTGAAGTAATTTTACACTTACATACTCTTCCTATCTTGGCTACTTCTCAAGAGATACTTTCAGTGTGAGCCATCGTCATGAGCCATTATAAAGCACTCCAGTGGCAGAGAAACCATACTCAAAACGTGAATGGTACAAAATATGACGGAGCAGAGATATCAAAAGACCTGTTGACTGAGACCACCATGATTTTGTACCATGTGTTAAGAGACATCAGAGTCTTTCTGGTATTTTAAGTACTGTGTTTGTTTGATAGACCCAGTGTCCAAAATTGTGAGGGTTTGCTATCATACAGAAACCAATGACTTTGTTCTTGAGACTACCACATAACACTTGTCAAAAACTCAAAAATTATTCTGGCCATTACTTCTTTTTAGTGCATCATATCCCTGAAAACTATAGAATAATCCATTGACCAGTACAGTACAGCCCTTCAAAATTTGTTGCTACAAACTTAATTACAGTGTATAAATATAGTGTTCCTTTATTCATTGTCAATCCTTCATTCTTACTAATGTAATATAGATGCATTCTGCTGCCATATCCGGTACTTCCTGGAGATCTAACCCCCCCCCCCCGCCCCAAGTTGCTTTCAAACACATCATAATAATTATCTGGAACTGTAAATCTGCTCCTCCCCTTTGTCCTACTGTATACAACTGTACACATTAATATCTCGTTGACATCCCTACCATTGCCTCCTCCAACACATGCTACATCCACCTATTACTGCTGTGGCTCATTCTGTATTCAAACACATCCACTCCCAAATATGTATAACACCATATTTCCTCCATTTTGTCTCCCAGTGATTCAACATCTATTTTTTAACTTTCTCTACTTGTCTCCATCACTTTACTTTTCCTCAAATTCCCTATTAATTTCCTCCAATACACACTTATAAATTCATTCACCACCATTTGCAACTTTAGTCTCCAAGTCACCTACCCTATATATATATATATATGCTGATAACCACAAGGAATGAAGAAAACACGAAGTGCTTTCTTCTTTCCTTGTGGTTATCAGCATATACCTGGATCACGCGCAACTACAGTGATTTACTTGCATAATATATATATATATATATATATATATATATATATATATATATATATATATATATATATATATATATATATATATATATATATATATATATATATATATATATATATATATACAGCACTTAACATTATTAGGGACCTGCCACGCTTTGCCATAAACAAATAAATTGTACCGGGAAACCCCCACACACACTCTCATCATTCTGTCACTTTATGTAATTTGCTGACAAAACCCATGACCCTTCAGGCTTTTACACCTTCAATGCAGGAGTCATAAAGGCAAGCATGAACTCCGCATGCTTCCCAGATGGGCACTGTAAACTCTTCTGCGCTTCACCTTGCACAGGATGTAAGGGGGTGCCCAATAAACTAGCCCCCTCCAGAGCAATCTAAAGAAATCTATAGTACTATATATATAGGTAACTCACTTATTTACATTATACCCTCTGATCATCAAAATTTTTTTAAGAAAAAACATAACATACATTATACTGTACATACACACGAAAAATACTGAAATGGCAAATATATTTTTATATAGGATGTAAGAAAATATTTGTAAAAAGTATAAAATATATATATATATTTCTCTTCATATTAACTTACAAAATGACTGAAAACCATCTCCACATTATGTTCAAGTACTGTACTGCACACACATTAAGAAATCATTACAGAAAGGAAATAAATTAAAAATAGCTTTACCTCTACACTGTTTCTTCACACCTTAAGATTTTTTTTTTTACTAGCTATAGTCACATAGTTAAATACTGTATCAACAACAAATAATGACCAATATGAGACACAGCATTTAATAATTATTACACATATATCAAAGTGTAAGGAGAATGTAGTAATGTGTCAATCTACTTTAAATGCAAAATATGACATAGTGTACTGTACTGAATACAGACTAATAGATGGGTAGAATCACATATGGTGAACCCTAAAGGCTGAAGGCGTAGCTACCATACTCTGCTGTACCTTGTGAGGTAAAATAATTTTAACAAATTTAATTCTAACAATTAAGTGAATAACAACACAGATGGTTAGATAATCACTATTTGCAAGCAAAAACACAACCAGTTTTAAGATATGTAATATCGCGGCCAAAAACACACCAACAAAGTAGAGGATAAATTGGAGAACATTAGTACTGTATATTAAATAAAAAGAGTAATAATAAATACCTAACAACTAAGCTTCATCATACCAGTATATAGTGAGGAAAGAGAAATATTAACAGATAAGAGAGGAGACACTAGCTCCTGTCTTGAAGACAGGTGTCAAAAGTACTTAACACAAGAAATCTGGAGCTAAAAAATAACAATCAACACTTCTGTTCATATAACCTTAGTTTCACTATGATCAAATGAATCATCTATGCTGGTTTATCCCATCTGAGAATATTCTGTATAAGTACTTCATAAAGTAGCACACCAAAAAATTTATTTTAGTATAAAATTGCTTTGCTTTCTCTATACCGATATATATATATATATATATATATATGCCTACAATGTCATTTCATTACTACTTTACAAAGTCAAATCCAGTTGTGTATGATTCAAGTACTGTACTTCAATTGCCTCCACTGCTCCTTTATCTGGGACTAACACAAAACTGATGTGTAGTATTTTTGGAGAAGACAGTAATATTCCTTATACCCAATGGGCCAAGCATGAGGTCCAACCTAAAGTTATCATCAAGCACAGAAAAGTATTATTTCATTATTTTGTAGTATATTTTTTAATTGGTAAAAATAAAGCAGTGACTTTTAACAAGATTGCAATCACACACTGAAACCCGCACTTTCATCTAAAATATTCTACAAAATACTGTAATAATGTGTGTAAAGATTGGTGATACAACAAACACAACTTCACATATGAGAAGGTTAGGTATATCTAGACTGTAATACTGTAGAACTGTGTGTTTGTTGGGTAAACAAACACACGCATTAATAAAACATTGTTTACAATGAATAAAAATATGCAAGAACTCGAAGTAGAGGAATTTGTATGGATCTAACCAGGAATATAGATCTGTATTTTTCGTGCTATGGAGAGCAAAGTATAAATATTGTCACCTAAAAATAAAACACTGTACCTGTACTGTATTAATGAGCCTCAATTTACCAAATCACAACATGTGAAATGTACAAATTAAAATTTTCCTACTTACTGAATTCCAAATTACAATCTGTTTATCAACAATCAATACAACTAGTTCTCTCACATAAAATCAGAAGGGTCTCTACAGAGTCTTTTTCATACAGTCATGGAATCCCCCAACATTCAGCTATACACCAAATAACAGTACAGAAATCTACATGTTGATTTACCTTTCATTAAGGTGAAGAAGATGCTTTACCCTTCCGCTGTACAATATGCAGCTATGAAAAGGTGAATAGTGTCTGCAACAAGTGAGGTGGCCCATGGCAAAGAACATGCTTGGAAAAAAGAAGAGACAACCAAATAAATGTTTTAACAAAGTAACAAAAAACAGACCTCACCCAAATGGCTGATAAGTGGTGAAATAAATAGAAAAACATTAAAAAGTGACAATAATTTCTATGTGGCTGACCCAGCACGCCTTAAAAAAAAGAGTGGTCCAACTGTATGCTCGTTGCTACATTAGCCTGGAATATGGATCATTGCCTCACATTACCAAAGTTCACAAGAGGAGGTGATTGATACTATAATCAAAGTCATTTAAGACTAACCAAATCATAATAGACTATCCATTTGCTATCCAATGCACCACTTCTAACACCAAGCTCTGTGGTTCACCTTACTCCAGTTTGTTCATCTTTATATGTCTTAAATGTCAAATCAAATACTCAAGAGCAAGGACTTGTAGCGACTGAAATCTTGCACAGACTTTTCTTAGATAAATGCCGCATCTGTCTTCTCTAAGTAGTGCATTTAATCATCAGAAAGATTCATATACGCCTAAGAAAATACCTCCTTTCTATATTTGCCCCAAAAAATCTTGTATTGGCTTTTATTAACAAATATCAGAAGCCCAGAGCCTTATCATCTTTTATATAGCACAAAGTAAAAAAAAAAAAAAAATTTCAGTAGCACTTCCATTATAACACATCAATATTACATAGAAAAGTTAACAGAATAAAATGTTCAAGAAAGCTGCTACTGTACATGTACTTTCTATTATCAGAATATCTATTACTTAACTAGATCAACCTGCATCTTCATTTCATTTATAATAATCAGCACTAAACTGCACGGGTGAACAGAGCTACTACACACTCATGTCACTATACATATTAGCTATCCACTCAAACCTGACGACTTCCTCAAATAACCTGATCCATATTTCCACAACATGCAGTGGAAAACTATTTTGCCTCCGTTGATTAGAGTAACTGTTTTTAGCAGCTTAAACCTCTGACCTTTGGTAATATTATCATGAGGTGAACTATCTCAGGCAAACTTCATCACATATTCCTACAGTCTAAAGTATGCCATCCTCAGATGGGCTTGAACCTTGAGGTTCTCAACTTGGGCACCAATCACATTACCCATCTCTCATTTGAATTAGTCAATACATTGATTCACACCTTCACGTCATACATCAGTAACACCTTCAAGTCACACATCTTTATTTCCCCAATTCATCAGTGTTTCAGTATGTTTATCCAAACTAGTCTCTGTACTGTACTGTACATTAAAAAAATAAATAATAATAATAGTATAGGTCATAAACAGTACAAACAATATTGCCACTAAACACTAAATGTCAACATACAAAATTTTTCCCCTTTCTTCGAGTCATATTACCATTTAACTTATTGAGCTTAAGAAGCCTTATCACATTTCAAGAGCTACTTCTTCATTTCAAATATCCATTTGGTAATTTGTATTGCAATGCTTAAACTAACAATAATCAGTCTTCGTTATACTGTATGTCAGAAATTGCCTCTTTAAATACTAGTGCTATACAATGGTGTTCAGTTTGTGCTTCATCAGCACTGCATTACAAGTACAGTATTATGTAATCTATATCATACATGACTGAATAGCTCACTGGGTGATGCAAAACAAATATTATACGATGTTTGCAGAATATTTACTCCAAAGGACATGGTGTCCATAAATTATCTGACTTACTTTAAAACTTAAAAACCCCAAAAACATCATGGATAGGATACTGTAATACTGTACATGTGCGGAAATCAACTAAGACAAGAAAAAAGCTTTCGAGTTCTTCATCAAGTAGAATAGAATCAGTTTGTTTAATCTATAATGTTTTTGAAGTTATAAACTTTTAAAATTAGTCAGATAAATTAGGGACACCCTGTACAGTGGTGAAATTTATCATACTAACAACATGGCAAATGGTGACATTCTACAGACATAATCTTAAATTATTATATGTTCACTTAGCTGACAATAATTATCTATGTTGTACAATCCTGGTGAACTTTCCGAGGAGGTATTTAAGGAATAAAGTGTCAAAAAATTTTATGCACGTTGCCTTACTGATTTTTGTGGCAATTGCAAGTGTGTTTGTGTCACACATCAACATGTGAGGGTAACATTGCTAGGCATATGTTTTTTTTTTTTAAGACACCCTGAAGGAGTGAAGGATACCATAGGGAGTTAACTCCCCCGAGACAGCATTTTAAGTGTCTGAGCTAGTAGTGGAAACAAATGCAGACTGAACTTGACAATTCATAATACGGGAGTATTTAGAATCTAGCGCACCTACAAAATATTCACACACAAAAAACAGTAAAGATAATAATAAGTTCTGATGTCCACCTTAAGTTTACCAAGCAGGCAAGAGTAAAAAAAACAAAGAGAAGATAAAAATCTATCATTGATGAAAATCTAAGCTTCTTATAATGTAGATTGTTAATATTCCCCTCCACTGTCTATCAAAAAACTTCTCTTCCACAGTGACATTAATGTTACTTAAAATGAATATTGCAAGTTAGACTCTTAATAATAACTTAAGCCTTTCTTTTGACACTTGAAGTGCCTGTACACTATTGATGATTATATTATTTTAGTTTCCATTTCTGAGGAATAACAAATAAGCTGCTATTAGAGGTATTGACAGAAATAGCAACACATGTTTACATATTACAGTATTAAGATGTTCCCCATTTTGGTTATCAGTTGTTTATCATCCATAACTCCAAGTACTGTATCTTACACAAGATGGCACTTTAAACTGATAAACACAAGAAAAACAAGATGTTACTGATGAAATTAATTAAGGGTAGTTTAGTAATGACTTTAGTGTAGACATTAGATGCTGAAGTTGATTTAATGTCATTTCAAGGAACTGTCGGCCATCTGGTGACATGACAATCTGGGCGAGGTCTTCACAGGTGAAGAGTAAGTTCGGACATGGCTCCTTGGCTTCTGCCCAGAAGTTCACCAGCAGAGCACCAAACTCCATTAGTACCTCTGAAGATCCAGAATTCAGACATCTGCAGGTAGAAAATTATCCCTTACAAAATTTGACATCCAAAACAGTACAGTCCCTCGCTGAATATGCAGTTGTTTCAAAATAAAAGTTCACAAAGAAAATTCATATACTGTACTGTAGAGAACTATTTATTAAATGCATTACTGTATACAGGTATAGAGATGTATTCTAGGACCTCTACTGACCCCCTGACACCATAGCAAATTTCATACACAGAGCAGAAAAGTACAATAAATATAGTCATCACATAAAAATGAAAATGCATTAAGTTACATAAAACAAGACCCCCCCCCCCTATTTACAGTATATGGTTTAAACCTTTGAACACCACCTATGATTTCAGAGTCGTTCATGAAAAGTATGATTTTCCTCCCCCAAAATGAAAGTGCTATTCTTCACAATTCTTTTATATTTTTAAAGAGATTGTGATGATGAAGTTTTTAAATATGCCATCAAAATTTCCTGAAAATTATAAATAAGCCCAAAAAAGTTTTACTAAAAACCTCAAATTCTCTTTTTATCAAAGAAAAGCCGATCAAAATGATACCAAAAACATGCCAAATTACAATCATATTTGATATTAGTGAAATACCTGTACAGAATTACAATTACTTAAAAATTAATTGCAATTATGCATTATGCAATTATATACTTTACTGTACTGTATACTGTACAGTATATGAAATTTTGAATAATTCCTAAAAAATGGAAGTTGACAAATTACAGCTCCAAAAATACAGATTATAGCAATTAATTACAAAGGCACACCTAAATATAATGTAGGTTATTCAAAATAATTACAGAAAAATGTAGTACCTGTAGCTATAAAAATATAAAATTAAACATTACACCAATACTGTAAAGGTATCCCTTGCTATAAGAATGGGTTAGGTTCCTGAAAACCATTCATTAAATGAATTTCTGTATATCAAATAAAAGGATGTTTGGGAAAAAAAGGGTTCGGTTACTGAATGATAAGAAAACTTCCATATCATAACTTAAAAACATTAAATCAGTTTCCAAAGAACAAAACCTACCTAACCAATGATAAATAGTACACAACTACTGTAATTTCTACCTAACATATTAAAAATATTAAACAAAATACTATAACATTAAAAATATGAAGCTAAAGCCATTAAGGAAAAGCTAAATCAAAGTTTAACACAGCCACTGGCTGCATCATGCATGAACGCCCTCAAGCCTTTTTATAGCAACCCAGCCCGGCTGGCGACTCTCCCCCTCCCAACCTTAGCAACACAAAGAAATGTTTATTCCCTTTATGTTTTGACCTTATGATAGTTATTGCTTTTATTTTTTTTTTGCACATTATATATGTAGGGTTGTGTGTGCATGTAACTGAATAAAAAAAAAATGAAGAGTTAAGTTTATCTACCTGAAATTACGAGTTGAAATAACCATAACAAAACTTCCCCAGCCCACCTTGCTAACTCTAGCTGGTGCACAAAGAAATGTTTCTTTCCCTTATGTTTTTGATCTTAAGATAATTTTTTGGCACATTCTGTATGTAGAATTGTAGGTGCATGTAACTAAATAATATTATAAAAAACACGAAGAAAGTTATCTTTATCTACTCAAAATTAAGAGTTGAAAATAACCATAACGAAACTCCTACATCAGCCTGGTAGGGAGAGGTGACCGCTCCAGCTGTCTCCCGGTGGCATGCAATTTGAATTTTTGCCATGACCCAAATTCATATAAACGGGGAAGTATTCGCATCATGAAAAAGAGGTGGTAATTTAGGATATTCATACACACCATTAACTTCACAACTCCACCCGATTTTTTTTTTTTTAGATCTATCTCCTTTGTGAATCCATAAATACTATAGCCAATAATTAATCATGCTTACCTCTAGCTACCACCCACAAAATGGTACTGTACTGTATAAAGAAGACTTAGCTTCCTAAATGCACTTAACTAATGACTTCAAAATAAAATAAAATTTAGTAAGCAAAAGCAAAAACTTCATTTAATATATAACTTACTTGCAGAGAGCAGATCCAAGCTTTATCACAACATTTTGAAGGTTTTTTGCACTGCTTCGAGCATCTTCCAATGACATATTTTTTTTATTGTTGAGAGAGGGTAGATTATGTGGAATTCTATGGGCATCTAGTATCATAGCTCTGAAAAATAAGATGATATTTTATAAAATTTAAATGTTTACAGTACTCCTATCAATGTTACCAGTTTTTAATCAGATGCTACACTTTACAAATGGCACCCCAAAGATTGGTCTTATAGATATTTTATGTTTCCTGGCTACCCTAAAGTAGTGTATATACATGTACCGGGTAATATTAATTCCAAGGAGAAATACTCTGTACCACAAAGGATAATGGGTAAAAATAAGATAGTTCACAGCCTACCACACCACCTCACCTACAGGAGTTCATTAAGATTAGTCTGCTGGCAATCATAACACCCTCCTCCTCCTTCCAAAACATTAACATTCTTTTCATTTCTGTTTAATACATTTCACTTTTATTCAAAGCCTTTCTTTAGGTTCATGAATATATATACAGATGGCTATAATCACACTGTAGAAGACTACATAAAACTGGTGTCAAAATTAAATTGGATAAAATGTCTTTCCAGTACAGTAGAGACTAACAATATTCTAAATGTAACCAAAGAAATAACCGCACATGCTTATGTAAACTTACACAAATTGAGTGATGCTAACAGCAACAAGACTGATCATTTCCCTGGCACTAGATATGCCATTAGAAGTTGGATGGTGCATAACTGTGTTGTGGTTGATGGCTGGCAATCGTTGAGATACATTGTTTACACCCACTGGAATACTAAAGAAAAAAATGTGCTTAGTACAATAATTTCATAAGCTTTTATCACCTTTTATTAAAAAAAAGTTCTTCACAAACTATTATATCGTTAAATGCTGCAATGTATGATCAACATTTTATGGTCATTTTCCACATTTGCATGGATTAAACATGATTGCCTGCCACCTCCAATGTTTCATTACTGTACATCTTTCAGTACATTTCAGTTCAGTTTTACTCATTACATTATTACTGTATACTGTGTTTACATTGAGTCATCATGTGTAAAGACAAAGCAGGTACTGTACACAATTTAGTGTGTACAGACAATGCAGGTACACAGTACTATACTGTACATACACAATGCAAGTACAGTACACAAAAACATATTGAAAAATGCCTCTCTTAAGCATTTAGTCTATCAGTCCTGCCCATCTCATATTTTGCCATAAATCTATATCTCATTTTTTAGCACAAAAAGTTGTAAATTAATTATCATGATGATACAGATACCAGTAAATCAATATCAAAATTGCATGTTTACATAAAAGTTGATAAAATGTGACAACCACAATTTTTATTTCAAATTTAAAAAAAATACTTTGCTTAGACTATACAACATGCCATAATTCACTCTCACTCACTCTCTCTCTCTCTCTTTTACAAAATAAATGAGAAAAGTTTTATTACAATCCAAGAAATGTCTTACCTTGCACTTAAAGCATTAGGCTGACTAGATGGTACTACTGTTTCTTGGGTAACTTTTACATTAAATTGTGAGCTCACGCCATCAGTCCGGGTGGTTGAGGTGGGCTCAGCATTATTCGGAGGAGCGTACACTTTACCAACATACCCTGGCACACTATGCTCGTACCTAAAAATTATTTATATAGTTAAGAGGAGGATGACCCATGTACAGTGCAAAATACAAACATCTTCTCAAAATATTGTACAATATAAGGAATTAGTGGAGATCATATTAGTGAAGAATGAGGCAATCTATGGATAATGCAGGAGTGTCCTGTACTGTACAGTAACATGTCAATTTTAAAGTTTTTTAGAAAGGTAATTAACACCTTGAATGAAAAATTAAATAGGACTTGACTACTACAAGCAGAGTATACAGTACAGTTCTGCAGTGAGGACGTGGTACAGGTATTTAAAGAACGGAATTAGGAATGAACAAGTAACTGGGAGCTGGAATATTTAGCTACTCTAATGCACATTACTTTGTTGTGTGGTGAAGACATCCGAGTGAGTAGAGTGGATCAATAGGATACGATTAAAAAGTGTAACAATGTTATCAACTGGAATTAGTGCAAAAGAAAAACCAACCAATGATGAAGTGAAGGGACAATATGAGAGAATTTCAAACACAAAAACTGTACAAGATATATCATGGCTGAGAATATCCATAAGCCAACCTGTCACATATCATCATCACCATTTAACAGACATTTTCCTTGCTTGTGTAGGTTAGCCATTATTACCTAAAGTCATGGTGTCCTTGTTGCTATCAGACAAATTTGAAGCAAGTTTTATGGCTGGATGCCCTTATCACCAACCCACATTCACAGAATAAGAACTGAGCACCTCTTAACTGACCAGGCAAGGTTGCCACTCCCTGAGGTAGCGAATGCAAGATTACCTGCCTACCTCAAGTATTTCAGTAAACAGGATTACTTAACAATACCTAAAGTTAACAATATAGCTTACCTGCACTTATCTCCATAGGCACACGTTCCCTTTAGGTAATATCGGCAGAACATTGAAGGCTGTGCTGTAGCTGGGTCGTGTGAAAATCGACAATGGTCTGCTTTGTTACACACATTGTTCATAAAATATCTGTCAAAAGAATAAAAGAGATTAACAACAAATTCACAATCCATTGTATCTAAGTTATATAAAAATTAATAATACTTTAGTGTATAAGATATTTCCCATAAACCCAATCTGTTTTATCAATGTTAATAAAAGATAAGTACAATGTTAAGGGAAAAAGAATACCTAATCATTACAAGACCAAATAAATCATTCACTTTACATAATTAATGCAGATACCAGCTAACCACATGGAGATTAAAACTTTGTAGATTAGGTACTGTACCCTTGCATATTTTACCAGATGATCTCAACACCCTAATGCTAAATATGGGAATAGGTTAAATTACATTAGGTTAGGGTTGGTAAGGTGAGCATTTAGTGTTTAATCATCAAATGAAATAAGATGGGGTTCCTAATATTCACAAGATCCAAAACTTTTGTGTCTACTACTGTACAGTAGTGAGGATAAGAAGTCAGTGATAATGAAACTGTCAGTGGCAGTGTCTTCAACAAGTTTGAGGGCTGTGAACCAGTGGCGGATCCAGGGCACATGTCCCCCCCCCCAAAAAAAAATAAAATAAAAAATTACATATATATATATATATATATATATATATATATATATATCCTCAAAATATCACTGCACGGGCTCACTATGCTTGCCATTGACCCCCCACTGTACTGTACTGTACTGTACCCTGTAGTTTAGTTTACAGAGTGGATGCCCAGTTTATAATTCTAGCTCCTTTCTCTATAACATTACCATTAGGTTGTGTCACAATGACAGCACTTCCAGCCCTCCCACAGTGTTAAGAGAGACATCAGTGTACAGTACAGTATTAGTTTTTCACAGCTGCAAGTGATGAAAATATATTTGCTGCTCAAAGCAACTGTTTTAATATTAATACAGGGTACAATTACAAAAGTAAGTTCTATTTCATCATTTCTATTACAGGTTCCTTGAACCATTCATTATTGCAAATAACATATGGAAAAAATACGGATCAGTTCCCAATGACAAGGAAACCCCAATACTGTATGATACCCGTTACCTAAAAAGATTAAATAGGTTCATAAACAACAAATAATCCAGTAATAATCGGTATATACCTGTATATGAGTACAGGTATATATAATAATAAAATAATAATAATAATACAGTAAGAATTCAGCCACAAAAAATACTATTTATAATATTGTACTTCACTCTATAGTATTTCCTTTAGATATTTTCAGTTTTCAAGTTTGTGGGGATATATATTGTTTTTTCTTAAGTGGCCAATCAGCGGAAGTGTTGATGTCACAGGTATATTATTGCGCATCAGAAAAAATAATTTTAACCTAACCTAAACCTAAATTCACTGCAGAACAAAATGATAATACAGTAATACTGATTTTAACAGGTATAAACCACTGAGGAATACACAGTACAGGTACTGTACTCTAGGTCAGTAGGACTCAGTGGTTCATTCCAATTAAAATCAAACAGTTCAGAATTGGTTTGTTTTCAATTACTGAAGGTGTAAAGAGGCTCTTGAAACCTACAGTAGATACAGGTGTACTTTCTGCAGTATGAACCTTGAACAAAGTTAACACCACATTTCAAGATGCCTATACTGGATTCATGATATTTTTGACATAATAAAAAAACTTTTCTTATTAAAAATATTGCATAATATGGTTAGTTTAGGTGTAACCCTTTCGTATATTATTACCAACCCCGGGCATGGAGGGTACGACCTACTTGCTACTTCATAGTAAATTCAATCAGTTTTCCTCATTTCACTTTCACATTTGTATTTTACAAATGAAAACAAATACGATGGTGTATGATTTTAATGGCATTCTAGTCAGGATGGCTGTGGGCATTATACTGGTCCTTACATTATTATTTAAATGTTGAATGCTTTATCACTATCTTATTTAATCATCCTCTGATGCTCCGAGGTGTCCCACTTCTCTCATAAACATATATACGAAATGTAGGTTAGGTTAGGTTAGGTTAGGTTAGGATAGGTTAGGTTAGGATAGGTTAGGTTAGGTTAGGTTAGGTTTGGTTAGGTTAGGTCGGATCAAAATATTTTGGTCTATGCTTGATACCTAAACAATTTCACAACTGTTAAACATTGAGGTGTTGGTTTTCTTATCAAAGTGATTTAGAATTTAATCTAATCTTATCTTCCTTGTATCGGTATCCTTTATTTTGCCTGTATTATTTCTATTTGATCAATTTTGTTTAATATATCCAATAGTATACAGTATTAAAGTGGAATTTTCTGTGGCCAGAAGTATGGAGTTTTATTTTAGAACCTTTCGAATTATTTTATTTTAATATATTTATAAATTGTCAGTTATAAAAGTTACACTGTATTGGTAATATCAATTAGTAAATTTCAAAACATTTACATGGTAAAATCATACATATACCTGTATATATAGTAAAATAATTATTACTCAAATGGTACAATAATGGATATACACTACACAAAAATTTTACATAATCCACAGCAAAACAGCCAATGGCTATTTGGCCAGGGTCTCCTTCAGACAAACAGTGGATATTTAGCCGGATACCAGTCAAATAACCCCTGCCAGACAAATATTACAGTGCATATTTTAAAGAAAGCAAATTATTACTATGGGTTAAACCATAGTACTATTATTATTAAAATAAAACTTCTACGACTAAAATAGTCATAACTGGCAATTTAATAGCAGCCGTCCTTCACATTTACCGATAAAATTCTTAACTTAAGGATAACTGAAAACTTTTCCTATTATGTTCCATGAAGTACACCTCAGAAATATTATTATTAACTACTTAAACCACTCACATCACTATTGACTATAACTTCCTTTTCACAATAACTTGGAGTCATTTTCTTTTCACATTCTAGATATATCTAAATATTTATTCAGTAACATCTTCATAAAAGTTCACACGAGTTCAAGAGGTACATAGCAAATATATACAAACAATGGTAAGGAATGAACCGCTCAAACAATTATAGTCCAAGAAAGTTGTTAGCAGTTGGAATGGGGTTAATGTACTGTGAGGTCTTCTGTTAAACAACCAGACATTCTACACTTCCCTAACCCTGGCTGGTCCGTTACCACCACCGGTTTACACTGAAAATCGATTCCCTTTTTCTAATATCGTTTCCATTACTCGATTCACTTGTTAAAGAATATGCTCCTTACCGACATAGGACATTCTGAGTTCCTCCTCCTTCTGCCATTTTCCTGGCCTTGATGTAAACAAGTAATGATGGTGTAGACAGATGGACCACTTCAGAGGCCGCCACACCGTCGCCCCCTACAGTCACTGTCTCCCAGCCCTCCTGTAGATGGCGCTGAAAACGTAATGTACTTTATTTTACTTTACATTTTTTTCGCCACTGATCGGTTCTTTAGCCGCTTGAGCGTTCAGTAGCGTCTCTGTTACATATTAATGGCATGTACTGGCTCTAGAGTGTATCTTTACTTGTGCTGGGTCTGGACTCTGGTACCGTTACAACACTCATAGATTGTTCCAAGAGTTTGCAATTCTCACTCCCCTAAAAAATTGCTCTGACAATTTTCTGAACTTGTGGAAAAGACCATCTTATGAGTCTTTGTTTGTGGCTTCTTCAACCTTAAGATGTTACTCCTAGTGGTGTGGGCAATAGGTCATCCTTCAGCTCCAGATATGAAAACTCACCTAAATAATGTCGTTCCTCTGAAATGTTTATAAACTTCTAATAAATCACCCCTTGTCGACATATACAATTTTAAGCTACTACTAATACTCATTATTATTATATAGTAAAGTTGTCATACAGGTTTGCAATTGGATAGGAATCTTTATAAACTATGTAGTCATGCATAATACTCAGTAGTACTCTGTTATGCACTGTTGGCAAGTACTGGGCATGCACTGGCTCTTGAATGTTTCTGAACCTGCTCTAGTATATATGTACACTCGACTGAGATGTTTATACACTTCAATGATTAGGTCACCCCTTTAGGTAGCTGAAGTGCCGAGTTTTTGTAATGCATCTTCACTATCTGTGATAAGAGCAGTACCATCTACATAGCGATTATATATTACTTATTACTATACCATTAACTTTTCCTTCAATATTACTTATAAGATATAACTTCTCTCATTAAGAATTCTGAATATATATTATACAATGTTGGAGAAAGAACACACCTTGTCTTATTCCCTGTCTAACTGTGAATCAATTTGTAAGTTCATATTTACTAACACTGCCTTCTGTTGGCAATAAAGTTTCTTTAAAATTCTAATATCTCATTCATTAATGCATATCCTTCCAAGATTTTTTTCATAATTACAAGTACCCAAATATATCAAAATTAGTAATGGATAATTCTTATTTATGACACAAGTAATAATATTAAAGAAAAATAAGTTTCTGGTTCTCTCAGTCTCTCTGATAATATAATAAATTAATGATACAAAATTACAACAAAAATAAAATGATAGACAATGATGTCACAATACTGTATAGTATATACCAGAAAGTTGACTTTTTTTTACGGTTACCATAAGAGTATTTACGAATTGCAGCTGCAGGTGGCACAGCAGCTATACCAATGGAAAGTATCGAAACTCAAATCAGCATATACATCATGATCATGATATATATGTATAGTAGCCCATATTCTACGTGCACATTCAGTCGCAATAATGGGTATGATTTGGATATATTGTGGGGTAATGGGCGGGGTCACCATTTGTGGGGTAATGGGAAGTTTGGTTCACACTCAGGATGGGATGGAGAAAGGAAACTCACAATGTGCTCTCTGTATACATGATGTATTGGATGTACAATGCAGCTTGGTGCTGGGAAGGCAGCATGGTTACAAGCGCGATGTAGAGAGAGCTGGTTGGTGAGGGTGCTCAGAGGAGGACAGCTTGTGGGTCGCCATGCTCGCCGGCGGGAGCGAGGACAGCCAGGCAGGCGGAGGAGGAGGAGGTGTTGCTGGCTGGTTGGTGTAGCTAGAAGAAGAGAGAGGTCACCACGAGGTCAGGTCTTAAATAGCGGGGGTTGGCGTGGCTTAGTAGTTGACCTCCGTGATGTATGGCGGCGCTGGTTGACCCAGACCACGAGGCATACACTGGGGAATTCGCGGGGTCGGCTACTCAGCGACAAACAGCGTTTGTAGGGGAGAAATCCACTACAATATCATATCTCAGAATGTTTGCGTGATACTTGTGGCATGTGATCAAAAACATTAACTCACTTGATAAATTATATTATACATTGTGGAAATATGTGACGTGTTAAGAGTCACAGTATGCATTTGGGAAAATTCAATACAAAACGAACATAAATATTCTAAATAGTGGAATAGGAAAATTATATATAGATATACAGTATAGGTAATCTTTTAGCTGGCAATATTAATATCGCCATTTATAGTAACGTTTGCTTCGAGATTGGCGATTGAGTTTTTTTTTTTAAGTTTCAAAGACCGCGATGGTTGACCCTGAGATGAGGGAGGCGACCACGACCACCAGCCGAGGGAGAGGAGCCGCGTAGATTAACACTCAACAACTAATTTCCATCCAGTCACCTATGTTGTTCTACAAGTCTGGGTAATTGGGTAATATACGCCTTTTTGTCCTGTTTGATTTGAATAACAGTTTAATATAAGATTTTGTCATACGTCATTGTTGAGGTAATTTTGAGTTGGCATTGGCCTCTGGGATAACTTTCTACTCTGAGGTGGATATTGGTAGATGTAGATAGGTAGACATAAATAGACTGGTGGATATATAATATTTATTTAGTAAAATTATCATACATTCACATTGTTTAAGCGCATATAGTATATAGTAAACAATATTTTGTTTAACTAGAGGGTAATAAACTGACGAGGAAGTTAGGTAAAGTTAGGTAGGTTGGTTAGGTCTGTTTTTCATACCCTCAAAGGTTAAGTTCCGTTTATTTTAGACATAACCATTTTTTAACACATTTGCACAAATTACAACAGTATCCACTTTAAAAAAAACTGAAAATCTGGAGATTTTAAAATCATTTTCTATCAATTTCGGCTGTGGGTTAGTCATTAATATTTACCGCATCCATCTTTCATTAGTTTTAGTGAGCTCTGTGAAGATGGAAAAGGAGTCCAGTCTTGAACAAATTTCTGAAAACTTGGTCAATAATTCTATGAAGAGAGAGAGCAGCCATTTAGAGGTATCGGTATGTGGTGTACAGATTGCTGAAAATGCAAGTGTATCAAATTGTGATGCGAATGTGGCAATGGTGAAGGAAAAAGAGGAAAAAGACTCATCCACTGAAGAGGAGGAAGACGACTCCTCTGCTGAAGAGGTGTTTTCCATTGATAAGGAGGTAATGTAACCTAATAGAGCCAAAACAAAGAATGGTACAGGAATTAAATTTAAAGTATGGGCAGTCATTACAGGGATGGCAAGATTTAAATAGTTAATTTAAATTGAGGTAAACCATAGTACAGGTAAAAGAATTATGATAAAAATGCAATAAAATTTTAAGTGACATTGAAGTTTAAGATTTCTTAGAACAATTTCCCTTAATTACCTAATAACCAAGATCTATATTACTGTATGGTCACTCCTTCCACCACTCACTGTACACTCACATTGTGTTGCTGTTTTAGACTACTGTACTAATTACTTTCATAATACTGTATTTTTTTCAGTATTTAATTTTAACATTTTATAAGTGAAACAAAATCTTGAAAGTTAGACTAAGTTGTTGTAGTTCAGTATCACCTGCTTTTTGCGGTTGTGAAGCTAGTTACCCAATGCAGTAGGTCAATGCTTCCCATATGACCTTATTTGTGGTACTGTACTGTATCATAATTTTAATCTTCAATTTATCACTCTTCTTTATACAAATGTTTAATCAATTCTCTCTCTCTTTTAATAGTTTTACATCTAAATGTTTATTTATTTTATTATTCAGACAGATTTACCTGAAGTAGATGATCATGAGAGCAAAGCCCATTTTAATGGTAAGTGGATGAGTATAATTTAATACAATAGAGTAACATGATTTATTATACAGTACAGGGTGTCTACAAAGTACTGTTTGGTTTTTAACATTTTATTACAGCAAAACTAAAAGAGATAGAATAATGCAGTAAAGTTTATTATATGTTGTTGGTAACATTGTTGTTCCTCAATGCAAATCTCAGAACGACTTTAGCTCCAGTTTATTTAATGAACCAGACTGGGATCTGCAGCAGACCTGATTCCTTGCATTAGTTACTTGTATAATTGTTATGTAGTGATGTAATGCCTTTAGTAGACGTTCAGTGTGTGTGTGTTTTGGGATGCTTATCAGTGTACTACATATGCATGTACTGTACTGGTTATGGTTTAGCTTATGTGTAAGGGATGACATGGGTTCAGTCCTATGTTAGGCGATGTTGATGAGGTATAATTTTGCTGTGGGGTGCACTGCCACTGAGTTGGTTACCAGTTCAGTTAATTCACTGGAATAAACTGATTTCTTTTCTGGGGGTTGTCACTTTACAAATTTTAGGAAATGGTATAGTGTGTGTTTGTAAATATTCTCACTATTTTTGCAGAGTTTAAGCCTTGGACAACAGAGGAAATATGCACACTTGTCAAAAGAATTAAGAAAGAACTTCCTGCGTGTGACAAAAATTCATGTGTTCACACATTAAAAGAAATGAAGTGGGAGAAAATTGCATTTGATTATTATTCTGCTGAAGACTGTAAGGCAGAGTTTCGATTTCTCCTAAGAAAGGTCAAAACAATGAAGTAAGATTTATGGTATAATATGTTTTTCCTAAAGATTCTTCAGTGAATTTAGAAGTAAAGGCTTATTTATTTGTCATGATTATTTTTGTAAGTTATCTTTAATGGGACTTAATATTTAAATTAGTATCTTTTGATGGTAACTTCAGAAGAATCTAGGTAAGTAATCTTGGGAAAAAATGGAATGATGAGGTGAGCAAACCTATTCCATAGCTGATAGGTCAACAACAAGTGATCTGTAGGCCAGAGTGATGTGAACCATATCCAGGAGGCTCAAACTCATAAGTGTCTGGCTACACTTATTTGGATCTCTAGATTATTTTAAAGCAGCTCTTTACACATCAAACCAGCAATCAGTCACTGCTATTCCCAGTCTCTTTGGATAGTAGAGAGCGTAAAGTACAGTATTCACTATAACCCCCCCCCCCCTGTATCTCTTGGTAAAGAAGGTTGATGCTGTATAGAAATAGGGAGTGTGGAAATTTGAATTTTATACATACTGAATATTAGAGGATTTGAAGACAAGTTTACTTGAATGTTATAAGCATAGGGTAAGATTGGTTACCAAGAAAACAAGCATGGACTTTCATTTGAGCAAAGTGATTTAGAAAGGCCTTCAAATGAGTTAAAATGTTGGAAAGTACAGGGAGATGCAGGAATAGATAAATGTACAGAGCTATGCAGTGATGGCCGGGAGTGTAGGGTAAAATCCCCTTAGACAAAAACTCCCTGGAACAAAATCCCTCAAGACAAAAAACAAATGGTAACCTAACCTGACCTAACATAACCCTGAGAAACATTTACAGTACATAAAATATTTGTGGATTACATCCTACTTTGCACTTTAACTGAGAGGATTTTGACCTGGGGGGATTTTGCCCTGCTATTGGTGCTGGGGAATGTCTCTCCATCCTGTGTGTTGATGGTAGTATTTTGGGGAAATACCTATAATAAAGTCATCCCAGTTCTGCTAAGTTTGATTCTTGTGTCTTTTCAGAACTATGACGAGAGTACTCACAGAAGTGGAAGAAAAAATTTCAAATGGACAAATTAATAAATATTTAATTTTACAACCCAAGACTATCTTTACTAAAGAGTTTGTGAAAAAGAACAAAGGTATTCCACCTGTGGTGAGTGTGCTGACGTGAATACTGTATACAGTAATTTATTGCTACAAGAATTATTAAACAATCATGTTTTATGCTCTTAGTGAATGTTATAGACAGTCTAATGCAGTACAATATACAGTATTTATCTTTATTTTTTTAAGTAATGCATCATACACTACACTGATGAACACACGGGAATATAATATAATACCGTATACAGTATCTCTATTTATATAGCTCAGTGATGTATCATACAAAACATTGGAACTCGTGTAAGCAAAATCTGGTTTTCCCGATGTATTTATAATAATGATTCACACTAAGAAGAGAAGATGGCTGGATGCAGTTTATTTTCTTTTAGCCTCTTCGCCACTGATAGGCTCTTTAGCCGCTTGGGCGATCGGTCACGTCTCTGATTACTTTTCCTTTTCATTTATCCTCTTCACCAAAAGATCGGCTCGCTAACCGCCCGGGCGATCGGTCACGTCTCTGTCATGCACTGTTGGCAAGTACTGGGCATGCACCGGCTCCTGAATGTACCTGAACCCGTTCCAGTGTAGGTCAAGTCTTGTCTTGAAAGAGCTCACACTCGGTGCCGTCACAACACTTTCTGGTAGAATTGAAGATGTGATAAAAGCTCTCTGTTTATATTTAGTTTTAAGTTTTTCTGCTATACAATTGGTTCAAATCCTAAATGACTTGTTTACATTACCAGCAACTCTGTACATCCCCATATGAGGCACGTACGACCAGAGTGGACAAAGCGCCACTATGGTAAAAATCGAGATTTATTCACAAAAGGTTGAAGAAGCCACCTCTGTATCCCGAGAGAGAATCGGTTACTTAGGATGGAAGTGGCAATATGGTCGATTTTACTACTATTAAGAAAAACTACCCACGAGTCACTACATGCAGGGCTGGCGGTGAGGGTTGCAGGCGGCAGATCACGGAGGGGAAAGCACCAGATGTCTCCATTTTTTCTGGTGCTTTGTCCACACTGGTTGTACATGCCTCATAAGTTATATTAATGGCCTTCTTGCACACATAATGTGTTGGTGTCCTCCCACTTGAGCACTGTGTTTAGCATCATGTGCTCTTGTACAATTATTTTAGTTCAGTCCGTAATAGTACACAGGATCCAGCCAATCAGTGCCAACCTATTCAGCCCAACGTGAGTGCATTATCTTGCCCATTGACCAATGGGATGACAGCTATATTCCCAGGGGGACCTATTTGATCAAGCTTCAAGTTACAGAAGATAGCAGTACAGAAAACTGTAGTAGTTAAACTTCTTTGGAATAAGAGTAGTAAAATTTTGGAATAACCTTCCACAGTGTTAGTTGTGACCACCAAGTGTGAGCACATTAAAGACCAGACTTGACCAACACTGGTGAATGTTCAGGTCAACAGTGCATAACAACAGATCATTGTGCTAGTAAGGTGAAGGGTAAGGCTAAGGTTTATGGGCCCTGTGACCCACAGTAATTAAATTTCAGGGTGATCTTTTCTGTTTTAGATGTAAGACCAGACCAGACTTCTTATATTGTATATTGTTTTTATAGTAGCTACATTTTATTTATATTTGTGAGGGTACACTTCTGTATTGATTTGCTTATTTGACTTTAGGGAAATAATTTTGAAAATGTTGATATGAAACATACATGAATTAAGATAGAATACATTTTACATATAATTTTGTTGTTGCAAGAATATTTACTTTATAAATATTTCACATTTTTTTTTACAGAAACTGTTCTCCACAGTAGCTGAAGCTTGGAAAAATTTGCCCCAAAAAGAAAAGGAGAATTACACTAAATATTCTGTCAAAGAAAAACAAAGGAGACTCATTCCATTGTAAGTTAAGGATCTGTATTTATTTATTTCGCATTAACCAATTATCAGTTTACTAGCTGTTCAGGCAGTTAGTCTGTTCTTTGTTATGAACTTTATTACCTTGTGTTAGTCCTGTACAGGGATTGAATCCAGAATACAATGGTGAGAGATATGGACCACAGACACCCTGCCATCTAAAAGAAATTAAATGATGATAAGATACTAATACTGTTTTGTGACTTAGTTGACTAAAACCCGAATTTAAGGTGACAGATTGGCCTTGGATAAGATGGGAGAGATATAGCTTTAGGTGTGGTGTGGCAATTGGTCAGACACAACTGTTTAAGGCCTTTTATCTGTAGAGGACAATTGTTACACCAGATCTCCCCATTTTGGGCCAAAGGATGTAATGGGGAGGTGAAGATGATTGGTGTTCAGTACTACAATAGAATATATACAAAAGGTGTTTGGCTCTGTTAGCACTAATTTGGCAGAATGGAATGCCAGTTGTATGCTAATTTTATAATTTGAATATGGATTCTCTTTCATTCCAGACATATTGATGAACCGCCTCATCTCCCCAAATCACCATTTGAGGTAAATACAACATATATATATTTTTATGCAGTAGCTAGGAATAACATCTGGTAAAAGATTTTAGTGTACAAGGAAGCAGTATTCTGAACCTTTTTTATAGGAGAACTATCTCAGCATCCATAATTCTTTGATAGACATTACATTATTATACTTGAAGATTTCAGAGTTAAAATCTTGTTTTCTTTTCTTGGAACATGGTGACCACTTGATAGTGAGGAAGAGGATAGATCAAATTGATTTAGAGAGTCAGAAATAATATTAAAAAAAATGCAAGTTGTTAGTCCAGATTAAATAAGTTGAATTGATTTTCACAAGGTTGTTTGACTTCTTGTTGAAAACTTTACACACTTATTTTTTGTCTTCGAGTTATTATCTGCAAATACCAGCAAGAATGCCTTTTCAGGTGCTCTTCAAGTGGAGTCAGATCCCAATTTATGAAAAGGTTCCATTCCTGAGAAAACTTTCATAAATTGAAACACATTTTCCCATAAACTTGCATTATAGAAGCTCTCTTTCAATACCAGACTTGACAAGCACTGGAGCAGGTACAGATACATTCAGGAGCCAGTGCATGCCCAGTACTTGCCAACAGTGTGAGCCGATCAGCAGTGAAGAGGATAAAAGTAAAAGAGATATGTTCAACAAAAGAATTTCCTAAAGTCATAAAATGCCACAGAATGCTTCAAAACATGTTTTTTTTATTATGGCTTAATTTTTGTTCTTTTACGTTTCTCACTCTTGATTCCCTCCAATATATTGTTAAATAATTTAATCTTGTCTAACTTCCAGATCTTTTATGAACACCAATGTGGAAAAAAGGCTAAAAAAAGTCTCGAGTTCAAGAGGTCAACAAAAGTTAAATATGCAGCTCTAAAATCAGAGAGGAAGTTGAGATACATTTACTTATCAGCTGCAGAACTTTATACATATGAGGTGAGTATATACTACTAAATATATACATGTATATATACCCTTAATGTGTGGTACCCAACCAGTGACACATGCCCCAAGGAATACTCATCCAATGGGATCATATATATTTTTCAGGTTCAAGCTGCTACATATCAGAAAGAACATCCCAAGTGGAAAATTCCAATAAAACGAGGACCAAGTAAAGAAGAAAGTGAAATGTATCTCATGTAAGTGTAATTTATTGATAAAATTCAGTATCAGAGTTGCATGTTGAACATAAGGAATATTTAGACAGTATGCTTAGTTCTTTTTCTGTTTTTGTTCAGTACATTGATTTATAGATTTTGAAGTGTATGGTACAGTATATAAGCACTTTTGTCCGGGCTGCTATATATTTCATTGTAGTATACTGTACAGAATTTGTTAGACAAAATGTCATCCGTTTATCTGCTTTGCCACTTATCAGCTTACTAACCAGTCAGGCAGTTGTTCAGCTATCTGTTGTGTGCTGTTGACAAGTACTGGGGATGCACCAGCTCAAGAGTATAATGTACAAGTTAGGTTTGCTCAGCATTAGGGTATTATTAATCATCAGGTTAGATCTATGAAGCAGACTGCCAGGTCAAGTTGTGGAACTGAGAACAGTACTGGCTGGGCTTCAAAATAGCTCTTGACAAGGTTATAAAGAAGGATGGAGGATCCTTACACAGGCTACTGGCATCCTTCCCTCGGCATGGTCACCTCTAGTATGGGTGGCCATTAGGTAAATATAAGTGTGTGCTGACCAGTAATTAGGCATGCATGATACTATTTTCTCTCCATTAGGGAAGCTGGTATGCCACATCGTCCTCCACATTCAGCAGTCCTCTTATATTACTACGAGATGATAGCTGAAGGCATATTTGATAGGGTCCCTGGAATTAATCGGCTTTTTACAGCCCTTGATATGTTCAGAGAGCTGCCTGAAGAGGAGCAACAGGTTTACAGAAGAAGATATAAAAAGGTTTGTCATTATTTCTCAAGCATTTCAGGTACTGTATAGATGAGGGAGCATGTCATCATCATTGCTTGTTTTAATCCTTCCTTTTTTTATTTTTAACTAACACACACCCTTGTACCTCTCTCTCTCATCCTTCTCTTGTTCTTTTGAGCATTGGTTTCTTGATCTACTTCAACCTCATTTACAATTTAACTTTTTCTCCATTATTCCATTAGATCTTTCAGCCACATTCACTTTCCTTAGTTCATCACCTTTATAATTATCTCATTTTATTAATTCTTTTTTGCCCTGAACCTTCTATCCAGTATTTTCTTGTCTTCAACCAAAGCATGATAAAGATAGTCCATGCACTGCTCATCTTAGTACTGTACACTATATCTTTGGTTAAATTGCCTCAGACTACCTACCATAGTTTCTATATCCACACTGTCTATGTCTCTTGGTTGTATAAACTTATATGTTAATTTTACTGAATATCTATCTATCAACTTATCGGTATATTTTAATGTTCTTTCTATCAACAAGTTATCAAATAATCTTCTCAGGTGTCTTCCATGTCTATTCATTGTACTTAAGATTTGTTTTTATAACCTGTATCCCCAGTTATCAATCCTTTCTTATAATCTATGATCTGTTTCCAGCTTTATTGTATACTGTACTGTATACTGTAATACATAATTATGATATTTTCCATGTGTAAATCCTGCACCAAAAAATCATGTACATGGTGATTTAAAAGCCCCTGTGCAACTGTAATAAGTTGTTTTTTGTAATATCTACATTGTTATATACTGTATCTTCATATATGCACAGAAAATATTTAGAGATAGGTAAATAAATAAATATTCAGTAAAATATTCATACAAGTTTACAATTGATTCAACATGTATACCCTGTAGAGATAGGTAAATAAATAAATATTCAGTAAAATATTCATACAAGTTTACAATTGATTCAACATGTATACCCTGTAGAGATAGATAATGCAGGTAGGCACGACTGGACCTCGTCAGTGAGTACACAATATTTACAAACAATGGTAAACAGTAAGGCAGTTTGGCCAAGGGTAGCCAATAATGCCATCAGATGCTTATTTTCAGCAGGGTGGACAGTAACTTTTTGAGTATTTACTGTACATGTCTTTTTTTCAACAGGTGGTAGATGACTATGCCAGAGAGTTTCCCATATGGAAGGAAAAACAGAATGAAGTGGTACAAATGCTCGCTGAAAAGTTCATAGTAAGTCTTGTTGTTCTTACCAGGGTGGATGAGAAATAGTATATGACTCTTTAAACTTATGTACTAGTGTAGTGTATTGGTCAAGTTATGCCATTATTATCATACATAATATGCAACATACATCATACTACACAACATACATATCATACATATTGTTCAACATACATCATACATACTATACAACATACTGTATACATACTACACAACATATATAATACAATACAGTACAATGTTCACACATATAAAATATATACATTACAGTGGAGGTACAGTATTTCATAAAAGTATCTGCCAGGATGGGTCCGATGACCTCCAAAATGCTACCTGCAGCTCGTGATGTCCTGGGAGGGTTGGTGTGTGTGGCTGTGTGGCATACTGATCCTACTACATTTAGTAACCAAACATCATATTAATTACATTGAAATAAATGAACATGTCATACTGATGTTAAACTATGTACTAAAGTAAATGGATGTCCCAATATCTATCATTTGTGGTCTCATAATGTTTCTCATAATGTGGACATGTACTTTTTTGAGATACCGTACACATTGTTTATACCGAGACTACTGTGTGCCCTATGTCAGGAATTTCTCGCCCTTCCTTTACAGTATACACTCCAGGTGAATTTTGATAGACAACTCTTAAGTGTTTTTTGTATGTCTAAGTAGACTTCCACATGTGCACTGTGTTCTGTCTAAAATGTTTATGAGTTTATAAAGTTTTAAAATGGGGCAAGTAATTTATGGATGCTGTACCCTGTATATGTTGAACAGTCAGGTGAGAGAATGGAATGACTATATTTTTACTTCACAAAACTGCTTGATATTACAACTACTGTATTATACTCTGCGTTAAGTTCCTCACTTAGCCCCGTCATGAAAGTTTGTATATATTATTTTTTAATTTTAGGGTCTGGGAAAGATACAGTATGGTCCATTTGTTAATCTGCCTTTGAAGAAAAATTCTCCTGATATGAAGGAAAAGTATTTATCCCCAGAAGAAAACTTGTCTCATAGTTCAGAGGAAAATGTCTTGCAGAGTGAAGAGAAAAAAGTGACGAAGAAGGTAGTGGAAGAAATGCCCTTGAGTACCGAGACTGAAGCGACTCCTAGTGCGAAAAAGAAGAAATACTCCAGTAAAGAGACGAATACTTCATTCAGTACAGGGAAAACAAGTCTCCACAAAACAGAGGATTACCAAAGTCACCAGAGAAAGAAGGAAAATGAACAAGTTTTTCCTGATCCCAAAAAAGAAAAGGTAAGAGAGGCAGTCCCTATCCCTTTGTGGGAATTGTTTGAAACAGACTTAATGCCCAAACCAGAAGACAACTTGAAAGAAAAGATAAGAAAACTTGAAAAGTGGAAAGCAAAATCCAGTGAACTCACATTTGACCAACTTTCCATCCTTCAGAATTGCTTCAAAAAATTAAAGAATGGTTTTGAAACCTCCATCTTAACTGATGTTGCCAGTTTTAAAAAAGAGACCCGTAAAAGATTTTTAGGTACCTATCGAGATTTATTGAGCAAGCTATTAAATCATGATATTTTTGAGGATATATATCCCATTAAACATTATCCCAGTGAAAAATATCCTTTGATATAAACTTTTAGCATCTATCGAGATTTATATATTGTATTGTATTTGGAGAGTAAATAGCAGGTTATGTTGTTAATGTTGTGAGCGGATAGAGATTATTAACATTATAATGTATGTAAAGTATACGGTACTGTATGTTGTTACAGTGGCCCTCATGATACCTGTGCCAATAAGAACTGTGAAAGTGACAGATGAATAAGGATGATGGATTCCGTGGAAGGAAATGAAAATCTTAGATTAAAGGGGAATTAAACATTTATTATTCTTTAATACAACAACACAACATCAAACAAATTTCACTTGAAAACTTGTTATTGGACAATCATGTTAAGTAAATCTTGTAACAGCTCACAGTTCTCCGGGAGGTAATGAAAACTAATGGATTTATATTACTGAGGGATAAGTCAGATGGATGATGTAAACTTAGTTGTTTTGTTCTGAGATTTTTACATATATATGATTTTTTGTGAACATTTAACTTGCATGACCTTAATGGCATCTTATTTGTTTTTATTATGATCAATTTTATTTACTTACATTGGACTCATAATTATCAGTACATAATGGGTAATATTTACTTTATCAACTGTGTATCTATCTCAATGTGTTAGTAGTGTGGATAGTCTCCTTTGTAATTACCCTGTTATTGATTTCCATATTTTCTTTTTTAGATGTTTTTTGCAACACTGTACATCTTATGAACCATGATACACATTTTTCAGGTATTTCTGTAGAATGTATTGTGTTTAAATCAAACTTATGGGTTGCCAGAATCCCCACATTGTTAATTGGAACTAATATGGACATTATTTGATCTTCATAGACCAACCATATCCATTAAATAAGAAAAGGGTTGCATGTAATGTTTTACAGGTCAGCCCTTCAGTTCCAGTCAGTTGAGTAGCATAGGAAGGTGTGTCTGTCTCCCTCTATTCCTATTGGAAGCTATTCCCTAACTCCTTCTTCTTGTATAAAATCTTAAACATTCCACTTGGTTAATATTGATAACTGTCACCTCAGTTCTAGGTTTTAGATAAGTTTATGAGTTTATTTCAATAATTTGTTTACCAGTCCAGTTTGAGAATGTTTTACAAGTTGATATGCACGACCTTCACAACCCAGTGTAGTGCCTAAACCCATCATGTGTAACTTTAATTAAGATGTGGGTGTTTGACATAAAGCTTTTAATTTGATATAAGCTTTTGTGATTCAGAATGGAACTTTAGAAAACTGTCCTGTTGTTTGACAGTTGGGGAAACTGTTTATCATGCTTGGAAGTTAGTCATTGTTGTAATAATATTGTCTCACAAGAGTTTATTCATATTTTTTGTGTTCAGCTATAAGTGGTAACAGGAAGATAACTAGTTTTTTATTTAGATGCAGTCAACATTGTCAGGAGTCCTAAACCCTGAATTATCAACCCCTAGACCTGTTTGGTTATCCTTGAGTCACCAGGGATTTCAGGCTCAATGTGTAATTTTTGTTTTGTTTAGTTCTAAGGATTACAAGTGATGAACGATTGAGATGTTGCTTTTTAATTTTTCTGTTTTGCCTTGTAGTATTTCTGTTTTAATTCTTATGTTCTCTGGTCTGGTCTGTTGAAGGAAATAAAACTGGAAAGTTATATTTTTGTTCACATAGAAGAAATTTTGATACCATCATTCACTGTAGTTGGTGTCTTTTTAATACATATATATTTTTTTTAAATCTTGAAAACTAAAAACAGACACTAGTACAGCATTTTTATTAACAGTTTTATGTTTTGTAACGTGCATTTTATGTTGGCAAAGCATCTTTCACCTACTAATGAGACATTAACAATATTGATACCATAATCATTATCAAGTCGAACAGCATAATACAAACCCCAAGTAGTATCTCGACTGTCACTTGATATACGTAGCCTTTAATGACTTTGACTTTTTCCCATCATCACTAGTACAGTACCCATATCATGTTACAACTGTGAAACAAACACCAGTGATGACAGTAACATGCTTATTCAATGAAACCTTGACAACACCATCCTATTCATCAGTACATTCACTACCAATCTGTAGTTGATGTCATTACCGGCACAAATACTAACACCAATTACCTCTACTAGTGTTACCAGTATCAGCACTCTAGTAAAGCCTTATTTTTATTGCAGTTGTTTTCTTAAAGAGGTCATGGAATTCAGAAACCACCAAGACTGTTAATCTATGCAATTTTCACTTTTATAACATCAGTTTTACATTAAAACTTGTATAGTACCAGTAGTAATATATCCTATATAGATTTTTTACTATGAAACATCAGTCAGTTATTGGATTTGTAGTGTTTCTTCATTGAATAATACTTTATCCTCTTCGCTACTGATCAGCTTGTTATTCGCTTTGAGTGGAAATATGGGTTAGATTTTGAGCGCCACCTGTTTTACTGATGCTGTACATACCAGAAACAGTGATAAGTCATCAGATGGTAGTGTTGTATCTCCAATTTTGCAATGATGTATTCCACTACACCTGCTTCAATGTTTTAAAACATCTTATGTACTCAGGATATATATACAGGGTATATATATGTGACTATATCTCATTTCAGATTTGCCAACATAACATTAATAAAGGGAAATTTCACTATATCAGAAATAAGCTTTTTTTTTTGCCACTTAACATCTTACTAGCCATTCGATTGGTTGGTCTATCCAGTGTTCGTACAGAAGAAAACTGGGGATCTGGCAACCTGTAATGTTTGGTAGTGAGGATCACACTGGATAACACCCTTCTCACGCGTGTCTGGGCCGAGGCTCAAACCTTTGGCATTTTGGTGAAAGTTACACGCGTTACTGCTGTATGTCAGATCCTAGTCCAGTCCGTATCCATGCCTTTCTCCACATGTTAGCATCCCTGGTCATGCACCTTTTCCCAGATAGCATTGGTCAGTGTGAGTCAGATTACCCATTATATACAGTACACACAGGCCACATGTAGGACTTAACAGGTACAGATACATTCTGGAGCCAGTACATGCCCAGTACTTGCCAACAGTGTGTAACAGAGACGTAACCGACTGCCCAAGACAAAGCGGAGGTGTTGAACAGTTTCTTTTCCTCGGTGTTCATAAGGGAGGATGCGAACAATCTTCCTACATTTGAGAACAGATGGTTCGACACAGTGTTGACCCACATTGTGTTCTCAGAAGAGGTTATAAGAAATAAATTATCAAAGCTAAAGGTTCATAAGCGTCCCAGCCCTGACATGGTGCACTCAAGAGTGCTAAGAGAGTTGTGCAACGAGTTGCTGAGCCCCTGAAGATCCTGTTCTGTAAATGTCTGGATGAGCAATAGGTTCCCAGTGATTGGAAAATAGCTTATGTGAGTCCTATTTTCAAGAAGGGCGATCGACACTCCACAAATAACTGTAGACCAGTGAGCCTTACCAGCATAGTATGTAAAGTACTTGAGAGCATTATAAAGGATGCCATGATGGAACATCTTCTAGGAAACAACCTTGTAAAGGATTGCCAACACAGTTTTATGCCAGGACACTCCTGCTTAATACAATTACTCAAGGTACTGGATGTTTAGACCGGAATTCAGGAGGGTGGCAATATCGACAATACTGTATATACCTAGATTTTGCCAAGGCTTTCAACAGTGTACCCCATGAACGGATAAACTTTTACTTACTTTTATCCTCTTTGCCACTGATCAGCTCGTCAGCCGCTTGGGCGATCGGTCACGTCTCTGATTACTTTTCCTTTTCATTTATCCTCTTCACCAAAAGATCAGCTCGCTAGCCGCCCGGGCGATCGGTCACGTCTCTGTCACGCACTGTTGGCAAATACTGGGCATGCACCGGCTCCTGAATGTACCTGAACCCGCTCCAGTGTTGGTCAAGTCTTGTCTTGAAAGAGCTCGCACTCGGTGCCGTCACAGCACTTTCTGGTAGATTGTTCCAAGAGTTTACAACCCTCACTCCGAAAAAGTTTGCCCTCACAGTTTTCTGGACGTGCGGCTTCTTCAATCTTGAGCTGTGACCCCTTGTGGGGCGAGTGTCCGCCAGCTCCAAGTAAGGACACTCGACTGAGTAGTGCCCCCTGAGATGTTTATACACCTCAACTAGATCACCCCTTGCCCGTCTGTAATATAAGCTAGGCAAGTTCAGGCGCTCCAATCTCTCAGGGTAGCTGAGGTGCCGAAGTGCAGACACCAGTCTGGTGGCCCTCCTTTGAACATTTTCAACCAACTGACAGTCCCTAGCATATCTCGGGGACCAGACGGGGTGACAGTACTCCAGATGGGGAAGCACTTCACTCTTGAAGATCGTTACGAGGGACGGATCATCTAGATGTCTGAACGACCTTTTTATAAGACCCAATAATTTATTTGCCTGGTGTACCTTCTTCTCGCAATGGCCCGAGAACTTCAGCTCATTGTCAACATACACACCTAGGTCCTTCTCACATTCAGTCCTAGTGCAGTTTTTTCATCACGTTGGGACATATGATACACCTCCTTACCGTTGGTATGCCCCAGGTGCATCTTCTTACACTTCGTGACATTGGATCTCAGCAGCCAATAAACTGGAAGGGTACAGTATTCGGGGAAGTGTCCCAGCATGGATCGGAGACTTTCTCCATGGTCGCAAGCAGTGTGTGGTTATTAATGGCACGAAATCGCCATGTGTACCCGTGACAAGTGGGATACCACAGGGCAGTGTATTTGGCCTGCTGTTGTTTCCTTGCTTCATTAATGACATGCCAGAAGCTGTACACTCCTCCATACAAATGTTTGTTGACGATGCCAAGTTATTTAGGGAAATTAAGAACCAAGCAGACTGTAAAGAGCTGCAGAAAGATCTCTGTGAGCTTCAAGACTGGCTGAAGAAATGGCTGCTAAGATTCAATGTCACGAAGTTTAAGAGGATGCACCTGGGACGTACCAATGGTAAGGAGGCGTATCATATGTCCCAACAAGACAATGAACTGAAGTTCTCGGGCCATTGTGAGAAGGTGAACCAAGCAACTAAATTACTAGGTCTTATAAGAAGGTCGTTCAGATATCTAGACGGTCCGTCCCTCGTAACGATCTTTAACAGCGAGGTGCTTCCCCGCCTGGAGTATTGTCACCCCATCTGGTCCCTGATATATGCTAGGGACTGTCAGTTGATTGAATATGTCCTATATCATGAGCATTTTGAAGCCATTTTGAGTCCATGTGTACTTGATGTTAGGAGATATTATGAAGTCAATAGTAATTACATTTTACTATACAAAAATGCCCGAGAACAATACTGTATTAAAGAAAAAGTATTTGAATTTCTGATGAAAAAGGGGGGTCCGGACCTGCAGGACCCCCCCACCCCCTGGATCCGCCCCTGCAAAATATGATTTGATTAACCACTGTCGAACACCAATGGAAATTAGTTTTTGTTTGTGTAATTCGACTTAATATTTTCTTATTTTTGTATGTCTGCGCTATTTAATTACTAAAGCGCAAGTTTGTTTAGAGATTAGACCATCATAACCTTACTTCTGCTTCTGAAGTAAATTCAAATATGTTTTTCTTTGCTCCGCCACGACTTCTTACTTTATTCATCAATATATTGTAAATATAAAATCCAGAAGAATTTTTTTTGTAAGAACGGGAAAATAAACTTTGAAATAACAACACTGCATATATGTATATAAATATACCATACGGTCTAGTGAATATAGGTGTTTTATGTATGTTATAGGTATATTATTTATATAGCTTATCATATACCCTAAAGATTATTATAATGATATATACGTTATATTAAAATACAGTAATCATTCATCGATTACCTAAACATTCTTGTAGAGTACCAAGTATTTTTATTGGATTGGGATGGACTTAACTTGGTCGCTTTTTAAACAAAGTATTGCTGCTAACTCTACTATGACAACATTTTCTACCCTATTATTAAAATAAACTACCTATTTAAATGAATTACTTTTACTTTTATCTTCTCTAAATTATATAAGTCTCAATAGAAATTGTGTTAATTTTCAAGAGTAAAATATTCTTGAAAAAACAATATGGTTAAACAAGTTGAGTTAGAGTGAATGGCAACAAGGTGTGTCAGAGTGCCTGCAGGAGTGACGGCTGGAGGAGTGACGGCTGAGGGAGGGACGCGTGACCACTCAAACAACTTTATATCTGTCGTCCAGTTAAGGTAAGTTAAATTCAAATTCATATTATATATTCTTGTTATATTTTATGATTTATGTGTGTGGGAAAGTCTAGTTTATGGAGCTGACTGATGTCTTCTTACCTGTCAGTCGTGGGTGGAATATAAACCACAATGAATAAATAAAACACTGCATGTTAAATTACCTTAACAGAAACAACACTAAGCAACTTTTTAACATTAATTTTTTTTAGTAATATTGACTTACCAATAATATAAATTTTGTGTTATTTACTGTATCGTAATTTGTATTATGTATTTTGTTAATATAGTTGTAGGGAACTGTTTATCTCTCTAATGGTATATTGTGTAATACAGAGAGAATAACAGTGACATTCTTGAAGAGGTCTGCTAACTTATTAATTATTGAAAAATTACTGTATTGTTGATATACTGTATACCAGTATTTATATGTTAAAGTTGTTTTAAAAATGATTTCTTCAGCTATTACATGACATGCAAAGAATGGTATGCAATAGAAGTTCATTACCTTTTGGAGTTTTTATGAGGTTTGTAAATTGTTGGTTTATTAGGTGTTAATTATTGATAACTGACCCGCCGCCTAAAAAAGAAAAGAAAACCCCCAACAATTTTGCCGTATTATTGTGGAAACTGTCGTAGCTTTGGCAAATGTGTTAAGTAGTTATTTCTAAATTAAAGCTAACCTAACCTAATCTTAGTTGATAAGAAAACAAGTAGCAGAAGGCCTCACCAGCCTAACTAAATAAACTTACAGAACCTTACCTAACTTCATAGTCGTGGGGCTTTGTCCCCCAGATCCCTTGGCATATTAAACAGAAAGAACTTACTATAATATGGTGTAATTTTAATTTTTTGGAGGGGATGTGAGAGGAGTTACCTGAACCGTGTGGCTCATAGCCGTATACTGGCGTTGATCGGAGCCGTTAATGTGATTGACGGCAATGCTCCGTCTCGGCTAATTATCTAGCAAATGAAGCAGTTTTAAAAAAGTGATATATCAGAACTCACCGATGAAAATATAGTAAGAATAACATTATAACAAATAACGCATTGGCGGGTTAGTCATCAATATTAGCCGATTAGGTTAAGTACATGTATACTGTATAGTAGGTTAGGTTAGGTTCATCTTATATCTGATAAATGATATACTGTACAGTACTGTAATGTAACAATCCTTGTTAATTTGTTCCTGTGTAGGAAAGTCATGTCAGATATGAAAATGTGTTGCTGGAGAGACGTAGATCAGTCAGTAATACAATATTGCACTTAGTAATTATTTGGGTCTTGACTGTTGCTAGTTTGGCAGACAATTTTTGTCTTAATTTGCTCAATATTTGATGCTTAATGCAATGGAGATAGTCTTTCTTTGTGAAAACGTTAAATACATGGTTGGTACGCCTGGGTACGAAGTGACTCAATATTTCGTAATAATGTATTTTGCTTGTGTTTATAGTATTTACAGGTGAAAAAAGTAATTTAATCTGCAGTAAAATTTCCTCAGAGAGCAATGTTCAGCGTTCTTGTTCTTTTTGTTATAGTATTGTTTGACCCTTTGGGCGTTTGAGGATTTTTTGTGGTGAGTGTCCATAAAGTGGGGGAATCCCCTACACATAAATAACTCCACCAGGTAGTGATATACAGGTAGATGGTTGATAAACTTAATAAAGGCAGAGACAGTTCTGAACTTAGGCATAAACAGATATATATAAGCTTCTAACAGCATTTTTGGGCTAGGTTTATAGTAGTAGATCAGGAAGGGATGTTATCTGGTACATCTTTCTGCAGAGGTTTGTTCTCTGTACATGTATATAGTGAATGTGATTTGTAACGATCAGTTTAAATTCTTGGTAATTTTGGGTGAGGATGTTGGTTTTAGTATTTGATATCTACTGGTATGTGTCAGCCTGTGGAACTGGGCTGTCCTGTGAAAGCTAGATTTTGGGGATGATAACTTCTTTGTGGAAATACTATTCTCAGTAGAAGTGTTAAAAGAACACAGAAGTAGTTACGGTGATAGAGTTGATTAACACGACAATGTGGTGACTTACCAGTCTAGCAATGAATATTTCGTTCTGCACAGGGAATCAAGGTGAATGATGTTTTTGTTAAGAAGAGCTTCACCCCAATAAGTGGGAATATGTTTAGTGCAATTTGTTGGAAGTTATTTATTTGAAATTGGGGGGGGGGGGAGGCTAAAGATTTTCCCCTAAGAATAGATACCAAGGAGAAGGAATGCACGTTTGTGCTTTATTGTATTTACTTGTTTAATGTTTTGCAAAATTTTGAACCTGGGAGCATTTGTATTGTTTAGAGATCGAGTGTGCCACTGAGTTGGGGTTGAGGAGTCCTCTTTGCTGCATTCTTTTAGATATTGTTTGTTTAGTGGTGGTGGTGTTTGTCTGTACTAGTTTTTTAAATTTTTTGTTCCTCGGGAAAGTGTCCGTGTATAGTACAGTACTGTATGCACAGTACTGTGATGACATTGGTCATACATTTCAGTACTATAATCACTGACAATCGATAGTCACAAGTTTGTGTGCAAGGACTAACTACAGAGCTGGACTCCCCAGGTGAATCTACTGTAACTCTAAGAAAGAAAACAAAAAGTATGAAAAAACATGCATCCAAATTTCAGCTTCTTCATCATCATCAATTTTAGCAGCCATTTTCCACTTGTGTGGGTTAACCATGATTACTTCCCTGATTCAAGAAGTGCTTGAAATAGTGCCCTGACAACCGATGAACCAACCAAGATCTATGACAAACAAATGGAGTAGGTAACCATGCAGTATGTTGACACAGTGGGGGAGGGAGGAGGGAGCAGTGTACAAACAAAAAATTCTGGTCGAGTTTGCTTCTGTTGTGTCGAGCTTCTATGGGTCTAGGGCTATGTCCCCTCGTTTCTCCCACCAACTTGCTACTGGTGTATTATGCTTCTATTATTGCAGTAAATTTGTGAGGGTAAAAAAGCCTCACATCAGAAAAAATATGCTTTAATAGCTACCTGTACAGTACCACTATATAATAGTGGTGCACCTTTGTAAAGCAAGCTTGTTTTAGTAGTCGTTTCAAACTGGTTATGAAGGTTATTGTAGAATTCACAGGTAGTGAAACAAAAACATTTATACGTGGTTAGTACACAGACGTGTGGTTCCTTATCCTGAAGATAAAGTGGAATTTTATGTTGCTGTCTGAATTAGTGTTGTGCCAGTTTGTTAATGTACTGTAGATGACTGTTCATGGTGTAAAAGATATGTTAAAAGGTTGTTTAGTGCTTTTTGGGGGGATGAGCTTTCTTTATGTAGGTTTTATTCAAGACATTTAATATTGGAATATATTCATGGCTCTTTTTAGGGTTGTGGCACTGTGGGAGCATCAAGTTTCATATTACTAATGGTTATGGTGGGTATTGAATATTACTATAAATATTATTCTAGTGAAATTCCTACAGCGTTGTTCATGACTCATCGTAATGGAGTTTCTCAGTCAGCATGTTTATTCTGCCTTGGCATGTACGGTAAATGGGCTTCCATTGCTAGACTACAACTTCAAATGAAATTTCGTGTCCATATTTACTCATTTTATGTTAGAGGCAGTCTGGACCAGTTTTTCATTGGCTACCCTGCAACAAAGCCATTATGGTACCGGTACAGAAATATTTTTGATTTTGTCTGAATTGTGATTACTGTGCATTACCATATTCTAAGACAACCATTAGGTTTCAGGTTGTAGAATTCCACAGCAAATTAATTTTTAAAGATTATGATTTTGGTCAGCAATTACTATGTACAGTACAGAGTACTTAGAAAGGTAGGTTTCTGTTCATATTCATTATTCAGTACTGTGTAGAGTTCAGTGGTTGTTCAGATACCTTTATGACCATTAAGGCCGACATAAGAAACTTTGGTGTTAAACCCAAGAACCCAGTGGCAACTGGCATTATTTTATTGATTAGTAATGATTTCCAACTGAAACAAAATCTTTTAAAAATGGATTTGGGAAACAATTGTCACCAATTGAAGTTGAAGCAGCAAGTCATGATGTCACACCAGCTCTAAGTATGGTACCTCGCATGTCTCCTGTCTGGCCATTGGCTGTAGGTTGTAGGTACCTCACATGTCACCTGTCTCTGGCCATCACCTGTAGTTACCTCACATGTCACCTGTAGTTACTTCACGTGTCACCTGTAAGTACCTCATATGTAACCTGTAGATACAGCTGGGGAATGTTCCGCGTAAGACACCCGGCCATAACTTCGAACCTCTGAATGTGAGACCTATGGTAGTCGTGTGCTTACCAATCTGGCAACTTCTGGTGAGCTATACCTCTTTTGTGGTATGATTATACCTCCTGTGCACTATGATAGGCTGCTGATATTATGATGTTATCAACTCCCTTACCCCCTCCCCTCTCTCCCACACAATTACCAGAAAGGTGAGTGTCTGACTAGTTCCTTTGCTACCACAGGTCTTTCAGAGGTTCAAATTTGTGGCTGGGTGTCTTGTGCAGAACATTCCCCGACTGTATCTCACATGTCACCTTCTGGCCATCACCTGTAGGTACCTCACATGTCACCTGTCTGGTGATTATTATCATAGGAAAGTGATTTTTCTTGTTTCTTTAGCATTGATAGTTATTGTTGTAGTGTGGTAATGACTTATTTGAATTCATGAGTAAGACAATTTATGGTAGTGGTTACAACCCATAGGCAAGGTTGTAAAACATTAGTACAGTATTAGATTGACCGAGTCATTACAATACCGTGAACATTGAACTGGGTTGTTTTATCCTGGTTTGATTGTTTATACTTTGTGGGTTGGCTTGTTAATGTTTTAATTGTCCATCGATGAAGCTTTTGTCAGTGTTCATGATCTGTACTGTATGGTACAGTATCAGTTTTTGGATCACCTGAAGATTAATCCCCAAACATATTTCACCTTAGATTAACTACCCTAATTTTAACTTAATGTAACCTAACACAACTTAATCTAACCTAACCCACCAGGTAGTATTAGGGTGTTAAATCATCAGGTGAAATAAGCTGGAAGGCTAATCTTAAGGTGATCTCGGTTTTCTAACATGGATCAGTATGTGAACAGTCTATTACAGCCCTGTGTTATTGTTACGTAATCAGTTGTCTGTGAGCCAACTGGACTTGGTGGAAACTTTCAAGAGGCTTTTTTTATTCAAGGACATACTGTATGATCCTGATGATCTTATGGTAAACGAAGAACATAGGCTTTAGTGGCAATGATTTTTTTTAATTACTGTACAACAATACACTTGTAGTTTTACTGCTCAGTATCATCAGGAGCTATGTAAAATTTTTCCTTATCGATCTCTCCAAAGAAAATATTTATGTTGAAGACGAGGGTAATGGATATTGAATTGTTGCTTTTAACCCTTAACTGGTGGCTAAGGATTCCACTGTTGATAGCTACCATTTAAGGGTTGAGAAATAAAACACCAATCTTCATTATGACCAAGCACTTACAAACTCGGTTATCTCCTCCTCTCAGCTGAAACTTAGGTGTCATCATGAAACCATATCTCATGGTTGATAGCAGGTGATATGAGGTGTGTGTAGCTAATGTGATGTTATGACTTGTTGCTTTTGTTTATCAAAATGATGACTTGTTTTAAAGACCTTTTTTTAATGAGTATTTCTGCAAGAAAGAATAATTATGTATTGTAATGAAGTAGCCTCAGTTACTAATATTGTATGGATTTCATGGGTTCTATGAAGAATTAGTTGAATTTGAAGAACTAGCTGATCCAGTAAGATGTAAGTTGCTTAGGTCAGACCAGTAATGATATGGATTTCAGGTATAAACTTTTCTTACAATATAAGTACAGTATATGTGGTACTGTACTGTATTTCAAGTAAGATAATGACACGAAAGCACTTGAGAACTTCGTGTTTTCTTTTTTCCTGTGTGGATATAAGTTCTTTACGTGCAGTGATATTGTGAAAACTGAGAAAAAATTATTTGAAGTAACAAGTATCGTCTGCTTTTGTGTTTGCGGTGAAGCATAAGTAAATGGGACAGTTTATGAGAAGCTAATTTTGGCAGGGTAGTGATATTTTTTAAGATGACATACTTTATCCTCTTTACCACTGATTGGCCTGGTAGCCGCTTGTATTATAACGAAGCCGATGTTTTAGAAAAATTCCTTTACTTTCGTCATGATAAACGAGTAACCAACATAGTGAAGTTTATTCCGGAAATACGTGAATACATACTGTATCCTGTATTGCCTCAATTTTTTTTGAGATGAAGTTATTTATTGTGTGCTGCAAGATGTAATTAAAGTACAGTACTGTACTGTTATTAAACTACGAATGTTTTTACGCTGAATACATCACTAGATATTGTGGAGAAGCCAGACAAAACAGTACAAGGAAGAGGTCTGGTCAGTGTTTAAGCTTTTCTGGTGCCGAGATGTTTTTCTGATTCGTTACTTACAGAGTTGATGAAAAGCACAATGGGTATGTGTGAATCTGGTGTTCTTAAACTAAATAAATAAGGACATCTGTAAGAGAAGATGCTTTAAAATTTACACCATCTTATGTCTTAATGAAGTAGTTACACCCTTTCCTTATTTGTGGCTGATTGAATATATTGTTCAGGCATTTTTGAAAAAAATTATATACAGTGGTTTTGTAAGCACAGTGTCCAGAAAGAATATCCATCTTTGTTATGTAATGAAGGCAGATTTTACACATTTTTACACTAGAATTAGGGCTCAAAATTTCTTGCCAGCAACTCTGCCTTGGACCCATACACATGAGATTCTCACACATTGTGCTTAGCTGTATCCTGGGGCTGGAGGTTTAATTTCACAAACTACCTAATTGGGACAGTACTGCTACAATACTGTACTATTTAGCCACTATTATAGGCTGCCATTTTGCTTCAGTTAATTTCAGACTGAAACAAAATGGCAGATTGGCCTTAAAATCAAGATGGCAGCTCATTGTGGTGGTGTTGGTGGTATTGACTAGTTAGCTCAGCTTTTAATAAAGTTCCTGCCTCCAGGGGATAATACAGTAATGTATTGTACTTTATTTACTCGTAATTTTCCTCTTTTGAGAATGATGGTTGTGAAGAGAGGATAGACAATTTTAAAATCATCCCACAGTTATTGAAAGGTGTGGCATCATTGGCATGACTGCTGCTCTGCCAGGAAAATAGGATTTCAGTATCAATTCTCCATATGTGTAAAATGCATATTTATTTACCTTTATAAGGAATATTTTTGTTAAAAAATTCGTTCTGTGGGTGTGGGTGGGGTGGTACTGTACAGTATATGTTTCTGAGGCTCTGTGACTGGACGCCGTGCACCGTGGACTCCTGCTACCTTAGCCTCTACCACGTACTACCACCTTGTGATGTAATATTTTGTTTCGAAAAAACCACCAAGATAAATTTTTTTTTTTTTTTGTTCCGAGTAGGATTGACAAGTTCTGTGATATACTGGAATTTTTATTTTTTTATATTTTTCTGAGGTTTATGTGCGATGTACTGTACCATCTGGAAAGGATATTTTCTCATCTATTGTTTAACTGCTGGTAGTACAGTTGACAATTTGAATTATATTCTACAGAGTCTAAAACCAGAAAATTGGGTTGCAGTTTACTGTATACAGTACAGTATACAGTACTGTATAAAAAATGAAATCAGGCTGGAAAATCAATAATTTTGGGGATTCTTATGTAAGAATTGGTTACTATAGTTTTTTCTTAGCCCCCGTTGCAGCTAATTGGCTCATACATAATATTCGATTGATACTGTATTGATATACTGTAGTATTGCAAATAAATCTGTACAGTACTATACTGTATAACTGTTAAAGATACCCAGTTGTGGCTCAGTTTAGTGCTGAATTTAATGTACAGTACTACCTTATCTCTCAAGAAATGAATGGAAAAAAGTTTAAAATAAAGAGTATTTACCGTTGACGTCACAAACGAATTCACTCTTTCGGAAATCACATTCTTCGCTACTTCTCTTTTCACCAATTATTATTTATATCAAGACAAATGATACCAAACTTTTATAGCAACAGATAATAATGACCAGGTTATAAAGAGTTGACTCGAGTATAAACGCCACATATATATGTAAAAGTATATTGTAAGACGAACGTTACGGGGAGGTTGTGTGCTTGGCGGAAGAGCCTCTCAGCCGAGTGTCAAATGAAATACTGGACATCCAGGTTTTCACTAATAGATACATTACAGTACAGTACTGTGATTTTGGTGATTATTACTTCAATGTCTTTGGGGGCGATAAGAGAGATGTATGTAATAGTATCTTAATTGTTAAGTGTCTTGTGTATGATGTACCAGTACCTGTCATCTAGTGTGTGCTGAAATACCTTAGTTGATGAAGTGGATCTAATGTAGTGTGTGCTGAAATACCTTAGTTGATGAAGTGGCTCTAATGTAGTGTGTGCTGAAATACCTTAGTTGATGAAGTGGCTCTAATGTAGTGTGTGCTGAAATACCTTAGTTGATGAAGTGGCTCTAATGTAGTGTGTGCTGAAATACCTTAGTTGATGAAGTGGCTCTAATGTAGTGTGTGCTGAAATACCTTAGTTGATGAAGTGGATCTAATGTAGTGTGTGCTGAAATACCTTAGTTGATGAAGTGCAGTATACCGTAGTATCTGTACAATAATCACTGTGACTTCTATTATAATTTTGGTTGTATTTCTGAACCTGATTTAAGAGTTTTGTTTATATTAAGGGTTTTCAGATCCATACTGCATATTTATGTTTTGCTTATATTTCCTTATCTGTTTATAGAAGTACTGTACAGTAAACCCCATTTCCATAATTTGTGTTTTTACCTTAGAAGTACTGTATATTTTATATTGTTTTGTTTTGATTACGCTGTTAAATGCATGATATTATCCTTCTAGTGCTTCATGTTTCCTTTATGATATAAATTGATTTGCTAAGTTTAACTACTCCTCTTTTTTTTCCTTTACACTGTTCAGTAGTATTCGGCGACAATCAGCAATAATGCTTTCTTAACTTCTGTGTTTAAATCATAGTAACTTTCTTACCCTGAACTTAATGTTGAAGACTGGCTGACTCTTTTATTGAGTAGATCATTACACTTGTATGGTGCTCATCATGTTTACAAGAGATTCTTCCTTCTCTGTTGTGGGAATCACTTCTTTGTACCTTAGAGTTGGTGAAGAGTTGGTGATGGCGTTTCTTGTTCTCAGGATGGCAGCGTGGATGTGGAACAAGTTTTCGACCTGGTTTTGGGACCCATATGTGTGGCTGCCCCCGAACTACAACTGGGAAGATCTGGTGCCCAATGAGAAGGTTCGCTACGCCAACTGGAGTGACCTGTGGACATATCCCATTGTCATGGCATTGATAGCTATTCCCCTCCGGTTCTTGGTGCTCAACAATTTAGTGTATTGCTATATTGCCCAAGCTGTTGGCCTGAGGAATGTTAGGCACCGTCCTGTAGTCCCTAATGAGACTTTGGAACAGTTATTTTCCCGCTATAAGGCCAAACTTCCTGATTGTGAGATCAGCCGTTGTGCCAGTGTTCTCGGCTGGTCGCAACGGAAAGTAGAGAGGTGGATACGGCAAAGGACGGCCATGACTCGCATCACCAAGTTCACCAAATTTATGGAATGTGCTTGGCAGTGTACATATTACACTTTCATCTTTATTTATGGACTGTATGTGATGTTTGGAAAATCATGGATGTGGGATATCCTCCATTGTTGGTATGATTATCCAAACCACAGTGTTGATGATGATGTGTGGTGGTACTACATGATGTCCCTCGCGTTCTATTGGTCTATGACATTCACTCACTTCTTTGAGATTAGGCGTAAAGACTTTTGGCAAATGTTTTTCCATCATTTGGTCACTATTGCCCTTATTACCTTTTCATGGACATGTAACCTTACAAGAATTGGAACTTTAGTTCTTATTGTGCATGATTGTGCTGATATTCCCCTTCAGCTGGCAAAAATGAGTATTTATTCTGGTCATAAGGCTTTCTGTGATGCTGTATTTGCAGTCTTTGCCGTGATGTGGATTGTGACTCGTGTTGGAATTTATCCTATTTGGATCTTGTACAGTACGGCCATTGATGCTCCAACCATTGTCCCCATGTTCCCTGCTTATTACATTTTTAATGGCTTGTTGTTTGCTTTGTTATTTTTGCACGTTTACTGGACCTATCTGATCCTTCGTATCATTGCCACTACCATAACTAAAGGCAGTGTGGAAGATAACCGCTCGTCATCAGATCCTTCGGAGATCTCTGATGATGAGCAAGTTAAAAAGGAGATGTAGTTGATATGGTTAAGTCTTAAGGGAAACTTATTCCATTTATAGATAAGGAACCTAATACTGTACTATCTCAATATTAAGAATATGAATAATGTAATTTTCTTTCATGTTGAAGTGTCATTAAAAAAGATTTTAGAAATATAGCAGAACATTTTGAAGTGATTAAAGCGAATTGTGTTTGTGTGTTAGTTTTTGTGTAAGTGAGTTTAAATGGTTGAGTGGTAATTTTGTACTATGCATTGGAGTTCGCTGGTTTATATTGTGCAGCGGTGAGCTGCTTTGTACGATGACCATATTCGTTTAGGGCTCATATTTGAACTGTTGTGAGAAATGTGAATGTTCCTTGCGCAGCTCATAATCGTGTACTGTATGAGTTTCCAATTTTGATATAATGTTTTAGGAGGAGGAGTTTTTTAAATTATTATTTATATATACTGTACATCATTTTTTTTTAAAGATATTTATTCAGTGATAACACTCTTAAAGGGTATAAAGTGGAGTGGATTATCATTGCGTAATTAGAGTACGTACTGTATTATTCGGTATTGTAACAATAGGAAGCCCCTTTTTGTTATGCAAATATTACCCATTTAATTTTGATGTCAGTTCTTCCCTAAATAACACAGAGACTATTACAGTTGCTTTGTCTATGGAAATATGAATCCGTGAATAAGATAGTTTAGGAGTGACTAACCAAGGTCACATAATAAGGCTAAAAGTTCTACATAGGGCAGAGTGAGGTTGGTGGCCTGAAGAGTACTGTACCTTCTGTCTGCCTTAATGTTTTGTAGGTCAGATACTGTTGATTTCATGTCATTTGTAATAGCAGTTGTTCATTATTATTTATTTATGTTTTTCCTGATAAATTTAATACATTTGGGGAAGAAGTAATCACCATCTGATATTCCCATTAAAACAAGTACTGTAGCCTTTAGCCATGAAACATATCATTGGGGGGAATAATTAGCTTTTGGCTTTAGTTGCCTGTAATTTTCATTTATTGACTAATGCTGCTTATTCTACTCACTGTTGTTTCTTATTATATACCGTAATTGTAGAGGGAAGGCAAGGCTATATGGATTATAGTAATATGGAAACATAACTTTTACTTACTGTACATGGGGTAAACATGACAGTTATATACAGTAATATATATATATATATATATATATATATATATATATATATATATATATTTTATATTTTGTAATATATATATATATATATATATATATATATATATATATATATATATTTTTTTTTTGGATGGGGGTAATATCAATTTTTATTGTTTGAAAATTGAGTAGAGCCTAATTGTTTAATTTTTAATTTGTGCATTTTGACACGCACACAGATATACACTGCACACACACAATGTATGTAATAAGTCATTTATGTCCAATGTATATTTTCAGCCTTCGGGCTGCAGAATTTTTTAATAAACCGTTAATTATTATTATTATTATTATTATTATTATTATTATTATTATTATTATTATTATTATTATTATTATTATTATTATTATTATTATTATTATTATTATTATTAAGTACTACACACACATCCCCTGTATGCCCCCCTTCCCCTCTGTCTACTCACACACCCACTCATTTAGTCAAGCCTCTTTCTGACTGTACAGTACCTTCTTACCTCATCATCTTGACTAAAGGTGGATATACAATATTTGACATGGAAGGAACAACCAATTTTCATTTATCTCACTACATACTGTACATACATACAGGATTTCTTGATAGCACAGTAATTTGGGCATTGAGTTGTTTCTTTTGGGAGGTTTTCTTTAAATGAGGGGGTTAGATTTTTCAGGGGCAATGGTGATTACAATATTAAGATCCTATTAAAGCTTAAATGTACAGTAAACTCTCACATATGCAAAGTCTATGGTCCTGAATTGAATTTGCAAGATGAACCAATTTGAAGTGGGGAAATATTGTCATAATGGAAGTTTGTCCAAAATGTGCACAGTCTGTAATTTGTACATTGGATATCTTGTGGTGTAGCCAGCTATCATTTTTCTGCTAATCTAGTCTTTGTAACTTTTACAGTTTGTTGTTTTCTTGAGGCATTATTTTAGATATGCTCATAGCACCATCACAACACTCCATAATACATGTTCTTTACATACTGGGTTTCTACTAAGTGTTGTAGTAAATGTAGACAATAATTTCCACATTACAGTATTACAAACTCAGAAGGGTGTTGGATGTGTGGAACATTAATTTTGAATAATGGAAAAGATCTCACTTAAAGAATTTGATCTAGTGGTTCCCATAAGCAGACAACAAAACCAGTTAATGGGAGGGTTCTGCTAAATGAAGGGTCTGGCGAATACGTGGTTTTATTGTTATAAAAATTTCCCCAGAACATTACAGCTATTTATTTTTATTTTTTAAACTACTCCTCCTCTCCCATCTCAAGTGAATGTGCTTAGAGTGAACTGTGAATCTCTTTGATGTTTGATATTTTTTTTAGATCTAAAAGGAAATGCAGCATATCTGCTGATTTATAATTTTAGTATAATTTAAAGATAAAAATGGTTAAACCACTTCTGACTGAAATTGTTTAGTTTAACTGAGTTTATTAGAAATTAGACCTTTACTTTTGTACAGTGCCTTCACTAATACAGCCCAAGCACGTGGTTAGTGCTAGTAATGTGACTAATATTTACCTTCATGTAAATTTACAGTCAGCAAAATCAATCTCCTGTTAGATTTAGGCTTAACCTGTGTCAAAAAATCTGCATGTAACTTGATCATCTTTGTCAGTCTATGGCAGTTTGGGCATCAGATTACATTTATGTGGGTTGTACGAAGGTGTTTAAACAAAAGAAAACTGTCATGTACTGTATTGGTCATTGCATGGAAATGTTTTATGTATATGTATGAGCCTCCAGATATAGATATTTGACAGTGATGATGATGATTTTGTTTTAGTGTACAGTATATGTAGAGATTATGATGTAAATGTCTTGTGTTGCTCTTGTATAAATTAATTTTTTAAGTTATGATTATTTGAGGTAAAGTGTCTGGGATTGTGATTTAGTCTGTGAGAGAACAAAGGTTTTATGATGTTACCTAGAACTGGATGAAATAGTAGGTAATAGTACAGTAATAATAATAATAGTAATATTAGAAAAGATCTGCAACTGATATATCTACATTACACTCCTATTTCAGTGTCAGTTGAGGTATATACAACAAAGTGGTGATGGAATTTTGAAGGATAGTTTTCCCATATGCCTTTATTTTTCATCTTTGAGGTACGGTGGTTATGAAATACTGAACACGAAAAAAAGTTATTTCAGAGTTTAAGATTCTCAAAGTAGTTAGCTGTTGTATGTAATCATCCTGTTAAGTAAAGCTACATGTTCGTTATACAGTATCTGCAAAATACCTGGTATGTGAACTTTTAACACTGGTATTAGGTATTAGGAACCATTATAACAGGTTCAGGTTCATAGGTGTAATCTGACTCAAGGACAAAGTTAAATTCCACATGCATTCAGTATAATGTTTGAGTATGTAGGTTATTACACCATGTTGTTTATCAGTAAAGTAGTTCTTGTTAGGAAGCTGCAGCCTAATGAGTGGCTTGAAGTGGATGAAACCTGGCTTGAAGAAAAAATCTTTTGCTTGTGTGTACGTATAAACACTGTTCATGTAACCTCTCATTTCACTAAGAGGCCGTAGGAATTCATTTGTAGAGGCAGGGATGTGATATTTGCAATTACTGTATGCTGTAGAGGAGTGCTGAGTGGACAACTGATTGGTCCACCAATTGGTTGTCCACAGTAGGTGCTAGAATCATCCTGAATTAATTAGTTTGCTTGATAAAAATACAATATGATAGATGTTGAGTTGTATTGGTATGCTTGTTAGGAATTTTATATATTTATATATACGGTATCTATATATGTATATATATATTCGGTATATATATCACTCCATATGTATGCATATAGCTGAATTTGATACTAAGGTATAGGGTATTTATGTATGAAACTGAGATGTCTGGATGTGGCCTTAATGCAGAATTTTAAAGACTGAAGAAAGTCTGCAAACAACTCAATGAGAATTAGTGTACAGTACATGCAGGCTTATAAGTCCCAGTTACCATATAAATATTCATAGAAAAGCTAAGAAGACAAATAAGATGTATTTTTCAAATTTCAGCTCAGATACAAAACTGAATTCATAGTAGTTTTATTATATAGCTACAAGAATTTAAAAGAATATTATTTTCATACTGTATAGAATTTATATGTGTAAAAGAAGGCATATGATAAGGAGTGCATAGCAGTACAGGGTGTCCATAGATTATCTGATCCATTTTGTAACTTCCTATACTAACCTCAGACAACAAGCAGTGCATGTGTGGAGGTTTACCAAGACAAGAAAAAAGAATAATCCAAGTTGTTTGTCAAGGAGGATAAACCCATCATGTTCTGGTTATAATATTTTTGAGGTTATTAAGTTTTATTGAGGTTTAATAGTTTATGGACAGTCTGTATTATTTTTTTTCTTTATTATTTCACTACTGCTTTGATAAAAGTAGTCATCGTACTGCATTTAACTCTCATTAGGTAATTTAGTACTGTAATTTATTCTTAGGGAATATCTTATCTGTTCAAAATCACAATACAGTAATAGAACTATTTAAAATTTTGATACATTCATATGAACACATTGAGGAACCTACAGTAATTCTTAGTGTCTGGTACCCAAGATACTGTATGAGATTATACAAGTACTTTTGAATAACCACATAAATGGTGACATCTTTTTCCTGATTATTGTACAGTACTACTTTCACTCTCAAAGGATTCAGTTCTTGGATTTGGACATTTCTGATTTTAGCAAACAGCACATAATTTACAATCTTGTACCTAACGACCTGCAATTGTAAATGATAAATGTGATGAATTCATAGAGGTATGTAATCTCATTTACCGACTGTATACTATCTGCATCTAGTCTGATTG